CCGCCCAAGGGGTTTCCCCAGATTTTTGAAGACACTGATTTTTTCTCAGTTCAAGTATTAGACAGTCCGTCTTTACATTTCATGTTGTTTTAACACTTTCAAGCCAGTTTTTCCATAGTTGGTGATAATACTGAAACCATTTACAAATTTCATTTTGCTCTCCAGTCAGATATTTTAAGAAGCTGGGACACAGGAGATGTTATTTCCTGTAATTTTATTTTGTATAATCCTCTGCAAAGTATGGTTAATGATTATGGTGATTCACAAGTTCACTTAAGGAAGTTACCAACTTCATTGGAAGTTTTCTTCTCTACTAAGAGAAAAAATATAAAGAAAAAAAATATTATATATATATATATATATATATTTTTTTTTAAATATATATATATATATATATATATATATATTTTTTTTATTAATTAATTTATTTTTGATTTATAAAGTTCAGATTAAAGTTCCATCTTTATAATCTGTTGTGCTGGTTTTGTTAGTTCTTATAGCCACTGAGGTTTTACTTCTGTTTATGTTTAGTGAAGCATCTTCAGTGGAATAAACTGAGTCTGTGCATGGAAACAAAAAAAGAGTTTCCACAGGTTGTGACCTGGCACATTGATGGCAGACACTGACCTCTGTGGCTCTGTTGGACAGGAAGCGCTGTCCGTGGTGAGTGAGGATCAGCCCATTTTCGAGCCGCCCTTCCCCGCAGCCCCAGCCATGCACATGAAGGCTGAGATGACGTCGCCCGGCGGGTTCAGCCAGGCCTCCAAGCAGAGTCCCGAGCCCACCGAGCCAGAGTGGGTGGGGTCAGCAGCGCCAAACCCTGGGAAAAGAGGCGAACACGTCAATGGAACCAGGTGAGTCAGGACCAGCCGGGGCCGCAGGGGAGAACAGGTTCCCGCATTATCTGATTGTATCTTTGTTAAGGTCCGTGCCAACAGTCAGGTGTTTTCCAGACCCTGAAAATATTTGTTTATTCCTCACTTACCAAATGCAGCGATGCCATTATACAGTAAACCATTACTGATAGTTGAAAATTTTGAATTCCAAACATGGTACTTTTGGAGATTTAACTTTAACTAAAGGATTACACGTGGTCTGTGGTGGGAAGTATTTAAATACATTTACTCAAGTATTGTACTTTAGTAAAATCATGATGTACTGTTGCTTCTTCTCCACCACGTTTCAAAAGGAAATGTACTTATTCCACCACTACATTCAGCTGACATCTAGTCAAGTTAAATTTATTTAATTAACTGCTCAAGTTATCCAAGTTAAAAAAAAAAAAAAAAGAAAAGAAAATATATCTGTAATGTAGAACTTTTTCTTTTCTTCTTTCCCATCACATTAATCTTTTCAAGACCCCTCAAGATTTATCTGTTGACCCCAAGTTTGGTAACTACTGGCTGAACTACTTAACTGTCCATGAAGTAGTTTAAAATAGCTCAAAATTAAACAGTAAAATGATACTCACACATTGATGCAGTATTAACAATCTAATATTGTCATATATTTTACTATATATTGTACTTTTGACAAGTACTTTTTAGAGTTATATTACTTTTTTGAAAATACTTATGCTTATGTACTTTTACTTAAGTAGGATTTTGAATGAAGGGCTTTTAATTGTAACAGTATTTTTACACTGTTGTGTTGGTACTTAAAATATCTGAAGCCCCCCACCCCCCCTCTCCCCATCAGTTGAAGTGGTTTTTAAACTCTAGTATTTTTAGCTAGCAGTTACTGGGCGTAAATATTTACTAATGACTAATCTCTATGTAAGCAGGGTAGGTTCTGTGCTGCAAACCATTTTTAATTTAGTGATGTATAACACTTACTTTACAGCTAAGATAAGTCCGAGTTTACAAATCGCTGCTGCACCAGGCTTGAGGTTGACACCACGCTGCTCTTTATAGACGTTTTCACTGGAATCCTGTTGCTCAGAAAGAGCTCGGGGCTAAATTCATAACCTGTCAACTACAGATATTAGCAAATACTGCAAGAGGAAATACACTTGCACCCAGCTGAAACTGAAATCTATGGTCTATTGCCAGAGATTAGCAGCCACAGTAATAAAGATCTCATTGAAATGACAAACAGAAGTGTTTTGAGCCATTTCATGATTATCGCTTTACACAATGCTTTCTCCTCTTGTCTGTTTCAGCCGTGAGTCCCCTGTGGACTGCAGCGTCACCAAACGCTCCAGACACATGAGTAACGACGGGGCCCCAATGCCGTACCAGGCCTCGTACGTGGAGCCTCGTGTCAGTCCCCAGACCTCCACCCCACCCAGCAGCACCACAGAGGAGAAGAGGGTCATCGTGCCAGCAGGTGAGCCAACTCACTCACACGAGCTGGCAGTCACCCTCTGTCTCTCTCACACACACACACACACACACACACACACACACACACACACACACACACACACACACACACACACACACAGGACCATCCCCATCACAAGACAGTTGCCCAAGAGCTGGCACACACTGCGCTTGTGCAATAACAATAACTGAATCAGAGATGGGCACAGCATGTGTTTGGGCATCTAACTCTTCTTCCCCAAAATACTACTACCACCATCAACCAACTGCTGCAGCTCTCCAGTGCCGCAGCTTAACAATAGCAGGTTTCAGCTATTTAAAAAGTGTGACGAGCTGGTGTGGACGTTTTCATTTTTCATCAGCCTGCTTTCCTTTTCAACATGATAATGCAAACAGGTCACAATATTAATATAGATTCTTAATAGGAAAGAATTTTTCATAAGCCTGAATGGAAATATTTGTTTCTTAAAGCATAAATTGGCAATAACCCTAACAGCACCAATGCATATACATATTCATCCACGCATGAAAGTAGTCCCCAGCAGACTCCTGTTTGAGTAACGTTTGCTAAAAACTACAGTGCCCAGCTGTTTTAGGAAGTTATTATAGCTTTTTATTTTTCAAAATGAAACTATATATTTGTGATCATTTTTTTATTTTATTTACAGATTTATAACTTCAGTAGAAACAAATGGGCTTGTGGCTGGACAGACAGGCTGGGGAAGTCAGAGAGAATTGAGAGACGGACCAACACGTCATTGGTTTTGGTTTTGAATTCCAATCTAATAGAACTGGATGGATGTGTCATTGCTTAACAGACTATTTGAAGTAGATTTTGTCCAAACACACCCCCCAGAATAATTCCAAGGCACTCCAGTTTGAATGTTATTAAAGTTAAAAAGCCTTAATTTCTGCAGTGCTGGCACCTGTGTGCTTCAGCTGGGCAGCATGTGGAGTTAAGTTGATCTAAAAAAATCCTGTTGAATGTTTAAGCTGAAAGCTGTCAGCCAAGCCTAGACAAAAGCAGTGGATGTCCCTGTTTCTTTGCTGAGGAAAAGTACAGACATATATGACTTGGAGTAAAGTCAGTGATGTGTCATCACTATCCAGGTAGTCATAGTGAAGGTTTGGACTATCTACTGTAACTAGTCCATTTCATCCTTGCTATAAATCACTAGTCCAGCCATCTAAAAATGAACCTGATGACACACTTCCCATACTGTTAATATCCCATGAGACTAATTAAATGAGCAGGTCAAGGCAGCGCGTTTCAGTGAGTCAGAGTATGGAGGGATACCACGTCTGAGAGCTGTAGTGGACAACTTAAAACTCAGCTCAGTGGAATCTGACGAGATTCGTCAATGACTCACCAGCAGGAGTTATCCTGCTTTATAATTCGTGGATATTGCATCACGGTAACATGTGTTAACCAAGGACAAACAAGAGCCCAGGGTGTGGTGGTTTCTGTTCACGACTAAAGCTCCCGTGTAATGTTACGGGCAATTCACAGCATGGTCATTGTTTGCTACTGGAAATGAGCTTACAGTCCTGAATCAGACTGGTGATATATTTTAGTACTGTACCATGACTTTATGATCAATTTCAATCTAAAATGACTGGTTATTAAAAGTTTACATATGTCTGATTCTTGAGATAAGATACAGCTATAAAAATAATTTTAAAAAAGCACAGTAATAATAAGCAGTATACCACATGCATGTAATTGTGTATTAGAATGTTTTTATGATGAAAAGTGCAAATTCATACTGAACCAGGGCAAAGCAACACAGTGCCTTAAATGAAGCAGCATCTTCTCATATTCTAATACAGAAGGATTTGTAAAAGCATGAATTTTTAATCATTTACGTTCTACTAACAGGATCTTTCTTCTCAATCTTAAGTATTTTGCACAGGAAATCCTTTATGTAAATATCATCAGTTTAGCCAAAGTCATTTATGTTAATTTCTGTATGACTCCATACCTACAACGTCTACAACTTCCTGTTTGTGACATCTTTTTAAAGCCAGAAAACCACAACAGCATTCATCTCAATTTAAATTTCAGTTGAGTTTAAAGTTGATTGTGTATAAACTCTCTGCAGCTACCAGATAATTTACCCTTATAAAAAAGAAATCCTCCAACAAAGTGAGACACTTTGATATAAATCAATGTATCCTGAGTATTTTCTGAGCTACTCTACTCCCTCCACCCTCTGATGTCAGATCCCGAGGTTTGGACACAGGACCACGTGCGACAGTGGCTGGACTGGGCCATCAAGGAGTACGTCCTGGAGGAGGTGGACGTCATGCTCTTCCAAGCGCTGGACGGCAAGGCCCTGTGCAAGATGACCAAGGACGACATGATGCGTCTCACGTCGGCCTACAACGCAGACATCCTGCTCTCGCACCTCAATTACCTCCGGCAGAGTAAGGCTCGCCTTGTGTCCGAGATCTCTCGTCATTGTTTGGTTCTTATCGCCCGTCTGGTTTCAACAACATACGAGGTTTTCATTGTTCTGTGGCCTAAAGTATTTTACCTGCATGTAGCCAGGGGACAGAAATAAAATCCGATATACGTCTTTCTGGAGACTTGACAATTAACCGGTTAGTTGATGGACATAAACAGGGTTTCTGAGTTTAAGTTTAAACTTTTTCAGACATTTGTAATACCACATAGAACGCAACTTAACGGTTATACCATCACAAGTATGGAAAATTAATGAAAACCATGTCGGGATGGAAAAGCTGAACATTATTTACTGATGCATGATTTTATTGACATTTATATCACATTTTTGTCAGTGTTCCCTAATAGTATATAATGATCATTTCCAACAGTAACTTTAATAATTGAACACGATCTGGACCTGGACAAGCAGCAAAACTGAACAGATGTATGGATTAATCATTACAAAATAACTCATTTATGGATTTTGAACAAGATCAGAAGTCTGTAACAATAGTACTGAGGATCTTTGACAGTTTTTGCAAAAAAAAAAAGAAAAAGAAAAAAGAAATCACAGGAAATAATTCATGATAAATATTATTGTATACAGCAGGCTGGGAAGACCTTAATAAACACCTGCTTATTTTATTTAATTTTTTTGAATGTCACTGTGGCCTCTTTGAAATTGTAATGGACATAAATACTGTATGACTGCATGTGGCATTTTAACGCTCACTGTCCTTTAATTCATAATTTGATTATTGACACCCAAATTCAACACAACCTCAATTGAGGATATGGACAAAATAATGTAAACAGCTTGAGTGCAATAAGGCACACTCATGATGTGGAAGCTGCAAAAAAAATGATGTCATTTCAAACTAGTCATGTTGTTAAACAAATATGTCTTCAGTAAACGTTGTGACCAATGTTCCCTTTTTGTCAACGCATGTTTCCTGTGTTTGGCGTACAACACGTCGTCATGATCTCTGACACTTGGATCATTTCGTAGTGTTTGTATCTGAAGCAACAGCAGCAGTTTAGCTTCTGCAAATCACTGTTAGAAATGAGGAGAAATAAATAATTAACAGCATTGTTCGAATTTAATAAAAGGTCTGATAATGACCATTTTCCAGTCAGGTTTTAAAGGTAATGTTACGACACACAGGGTGTTTACAGAATGACGGCAACTCCTTATAATATAAATACAATCCAGTACTACAACACCACCACAAACTGGGTCCACAAAGGTCCCCAGAGTCGAATCAACACCTTTCAGTGTCTTTAACGTCGATCCTTTATTTCAAAACACTATTCCTGGCACTCTACCACCCAGGTAGGATTGATTTTCTTTGTGTTCCATCTTAAAAAAGAAAATAATAATCTTGATTTTTTTTTTTTGTGGTCTTTCCTTTAGGTAGCCCTACGTTTTCATACTCCACAACTCCCACCAACAACACACCACCACCACAACAACCACCCAGACTACAGGTGAAAGCAGGTGAGATCGTCCACTCTCCATCTCATTATTCGGCAACATTTAAAATCAAAATCTGGTGACAGTTGATGGCCCCCGATACTAAAACTGTCACTGTCAAATGTGATCAAACCACACCCACACAGTCCTGATGAGGCAGATTAGCTGACTTGTGTGTTAAACACTTAATAAATAATAACCAGGATGTTTGTAACCCCCCCCCCCAAACTGTAACTTTCATTGTTGCTTAGTCAGTCACAAACACTTAGTGGCAAAATACTAAGATATGAGGATTTGAGACAGTTATTTTTTCCGCCATGCTTTAAAAACACAGCCCCATTTCAGACAGGATGTTAGGGTGGGACCTGCTGTGAAATCAGACTGTTTAAGCGATTCTTAACTGGCTAAAATGAGGCCACAACAGCACAGCTATGTAGAGGAGAAAGAAGTTGGTAACATTTGTTGTGTTTAACTGCTTATACTGTACGATAATAAGGCATCTATACAAAATGCACATCAATTGCATTCCTAAAAAAAACGTATTGTGTGCAGTCGTGTAAAAAGTAAACAAGTACATTTAGTTAAGTATTGCACTTCCTCATCTAATGCTACATTATGTTTTTTTTTCATTTGACTGCATTAAATTTTTCTGATTCCCAACCTCTCAGGCTTGTAACACCTTACTTAACTGTCTAGCCGGGGCCCTTTCATGTATCATGTGTCTTTGAGATTTCCCCTCTAAATGTCTCAGGGGGTTTCATTTAAACAACTGTTCAAGGTCAAATGATCCAATATTTCACATAAAAAAAGCAACAATTAGAGAATTGTCAGAAATATAAATACACATTTCTGTACCTGAACTATGTTTTTTCTTTCCTACCACATTAATCATCTCACAATCCCTCTGATTTATCTTTACAACCTCTGGAGGGGTCTGACCCATCGGTTAGGGACCACTGCAAACTAAACATGCTAAATATATACAAAGTAGTTTAAGTAAGCTCCACCTGGACGAGCTACAACAGTAAAATGCTGATTACACATCAGTCTTGGTGTATAATGGTGTAATTAATCATATATATACACACTATACTATCGCTCAACAAGGGCTATTTTTCTGCAGCACCAGTACTTTTACTTTAGACTTTTACTTCTAATGGGCTATTATTATATTCCTGTACTGGCACTTTTACCTATGAAGTATGTATTTCTTCCACTGTTCATTATTTGTTACATGATACTGCCAGAAAAGGTGAAAAGGTCACTTTTAATTCCACTTTTAATTTAATGGGTTTGAATCAAAGCTCTGATTTCAGGCATGAATTTACAGCCATAAGGACATCTACTTGAATGATGAAGAGATTTTATAAAAAATAATAACGTGTTGAGTTTCAGAACCGTGTCACATATTTTTAAGAGTCTAAAAGGTTCCTTGGTCTCAGTCAACAAAAAAACTTTGATGAGTCCAAAACTCAACAGCCAGTTTCAGACAGGAAACAGCTGCACCGGCACGGGAAATGGAGGGTATGGGTCCTACTCCTGGGACACAATTCACAATCTTGTGGCAACAAGGGTGGCCTGAACAAAAAAATAAAAATAAAAAAAATAAAAAAAAACGCTCACCCAAGAAAGTGTAGGTCATCTCTAGACCCCTAAACCCTTATCATCTCGGTCTCCATTTACTGGCTTCCTTCCTATAGTTGTCCTGTCCCACTGTCCACTTCAAAGGCTTTTTATGCCACGTGCTTGTCACTGTCTCTAGTCTTATCCTCATTTTTGTGTGTGTGTGTGTGTGTGTGTGTGTGTGTGTGTGTGCATATAGAGAGCGGGTTTGATGAGATCAGCCGCAGAAACAGCTGGCCGGCAAACACCATGACTGCAGTGCCTAAAGGTAGGACATCAAAAACTGAGGATGATACAAAACGAAACGAAATGATCGTGATGAATTTTTCAAGCACGAACTCCTACTGGTTTTGCATATAACCTGAATTCAAAACTAGACTGCTGCCAACAATCAAACTATTTCACTCAAGTTTTTTCTTTTTGATGCGCAGGTTCTTCCATGGAGCACCAACACAGCACAAGAGTTACAGAGCCTGCTCCAAGAATTGTGCAAGGTATGAAGGCCACTTGAAGCAAACATGATCATATTCAAATTCACACTGTGCCTGATCACAAACTCACATTGTGCTGGAAAGGATTGCTCAAACCCAAAGAGCTACATTTAACATTTTAGTCTCCAAAAGACAGAGTCTACAACTGTGTTAGCAGCTGTGTGCTAACTGTGTGTATAGAGTGGTATGCAAACATTTCCTAATGAGCAAAGTACTGGTACTTTTCACCCTGGGGTGGAGGTAAATGTCTGTACTATAGGGCTGTCACAATATCAGATTTTCACTACACAATTATTGTGGCCGAAAGAATTCATGATAACAATATTAGATATTACACAATAAAAAAAATATGCAGCTATCAGTCAAATTCATCTTTAACTCTGTTTTTTTGTGCGTTTTGTCTCTTTTTTTAGCGAATGAATTACGCTCAAACACGAGTGTAAGGACGTGGAGAGGGAGTCTGTAACCTAACTGTACAAAAGCATACAAAAAAATATTTACACTAAATGATGAAAAGGCAACCAGATGAACTGATAAACTAAAGATCCACAAGTCCTAATATCTGCCATCATGATATTATTGTGTGTGTATTATCAACACAATATCAATATTTCATTTTTTTTTTTTAAATCATCAATACTGGTATATCGCGACACTCCTAGTCCGTACCAAGTTTCACGACAATCTGTCAAATAACTGTGAAGATTTTTCACTCTGAACCAAAGAGGATGACAGGATCACAGTCAGTAGGATTCGTCCTCTGGGGCACTGGACCAAAGTGGCGGGTCGACCGACTGAGCGACCCGCACCGGCATTTCTAGAGCCACACAGCTAGCATGGTTAAAAATAATGCACAATAAGTCTCAATATTTGTTTCATTCAGGGGGCGAGTGACGTATCCGTCCCTCCGACTGGCAGATATCAGAGAGCACATCACCAGACCTATTTTGAATCACTGAACAAAACTGAAAGTGGGGCTGTGATTTGAATATTTCACCCCATCAATAAGCACTTGCTCCATGTACTAGAACAACAGATTCAAAATCAGATTCTTGAAGCCATTTAAGAGTAAATTTAGGGGGGACTGGAAAACACCATGGCTCAAAAGATTATTAAAATGACATCTGCAAAGGACGTTTTAAATTAATGACATACTTTTTCTTCTTTACAGACCCATATCAGACATTAGGGCCCATAAGCAGTCGGCTAGCCAACCCAGGTAAGAACGTAAACCACCGCAAGATAAACCAACGAGGATGACACAAATGAGGCCTTTACACTGTCTGCTTTGGCAACATGAGAGAAAAGCAAGCAAGGGCTGGCACACACACACTTACTTTCTAAAATGAAGTAAATGATAAGCAACACCTGTTGTGTCAGCAGAATTGCATCACGTTTACACTGAGATGAAATCTGGCTTCCCTCTCACCAAAATGACTGTTTGCCCTGCTGTTTCCTCACAGAAGGCCAAGCCCTCAGCTCATCCAAGAACCGAACAGGCAAACAAAGTCCATACAAGCTCCCTGACCCCAGCGCTCACAGGCCTGTGGGTAGGTTTCTGCCCCGTTGTCTCACCCTTCCTCCAAGCCACACAGTGAAAAGGTCACATTTGGTGAAAAAAAAAAAAAAGGAAAAAAAAGCTGACTGAGATGTTAAGATATATCAAGAGGAGTTGAAATGTTTTTTCTCCCAACTCAAAATGCTAATGCTACTTTTAAAGGCTGTCTGATGGGCTAGGCTTAATATTACATTTTCTGTCTCGCTTTGTCAGTACCGGATCCCTTAACTCTCTTCGCTTCATTGCCCCTTCCAGGTTCAGGGCAGATTCAGTTGTGGCAGTTCCTGCTGGAGCTGCTGTCCGACAGCAACAACGCCGGCATCATCACCTGGGAGGGCACCAACGGCGAGTTCAAGATGACCGACCCTGACGAGGTGGCCAAGCGCTGGGGTGAGCGCAAGAGCAAGCCCAACATGAACTACGACAAGCTGAGCCGCGCTCTGCGGTACTACTATGACAAGAACATCATGACTAAAGTGCACGGCAAGCGCTACGCCTACAAATTTGACTTCCAAGGCATCTCGCAGGCACACCAGAATCACGCTGCAGAAGGAGGGATTGTTAAGTACCAGACTGAGATGTCTTATGTCCAACCCTACCACAGCCACCAGCCCAAAATGAACTTCATGAGTGGCCACCCTGCACCTATGCCCGTCTCCCCCGGCAACTTTTTCGCCCCTCCGTCACCATACTGGAACTCCCCCAACAGCCCCATCTATCCTGGGACAGCCATGACCAGGCATCCCACCACTCACTCCCACCTGAGCTCGTACTACTGAGGACAGGGCATTTCACACCTGAACGGGATAACACGGGAGTGAAACCCACGAGTGCGAGAAGAAACTCATGCACACGCCATCCAGGATGTACCTGAGCTGAACCCCGTCTAAGATGAAGGTGATATGACGCTACGGTCTGTTTTATAAGGGCATTATGAAGTTGTCTGTCACATTATGTTGCATCATGGTCTTAAAAATGGACAGAACATGAGGGTAAATTAATTCTGTAATGAATGGAAAGGATTGGTATTGTACTCTACCAGGAGTTTTCTTTTCTGAATACACTGATGACAATATATTACCAGTCATTCAGTTGTTATGAAACCAAGTTTTTTTTTTCCATTTGTAAGTACACTGTTTGATAGTAATCCATTGTAAAGACAGAAGTCATACCCTTTACTGTGTGAGTAGCATAATGGTTTTGTAACAGTTCTTTTCACATAGGTCAAAATAGCAGTTTTCACATTTAATGTGACTGACATTTGTAAAAGAAGTTGTACAGAATGACTGTCATGTAGCAATTTAACATTTACTCGTGATGTAAAGCTAATAAATAATGGTTGTACCTGAAAATGGACTCCAGTGACTATTATCATTTACAGATTCTTTAGAGGAACGTGGCTTTTTGGGGTCTCTGTGTCTTTTTTGTTAATTGACAAAATACTTTAAAAGTTTGTGGTGTGTTAAACGAATAGTTTATTCATTTTCTTGCCAAGATTTAGATGAGAAGACTCACACCAATTATATCAGTCTTGAGTAATGAACCAGTGTGCTCAAACCCAGTTTGTCTAAATGAGTGCTGAATCATCAGAGGCAGCAGTAAACAGTAAACAAGTACAGATTTTACTTCAGAGTTTCAGATTTTTGTCAGGACATTTTACCAAACAAGCATGTTCCTTTATGTCTGGAGAGTATGATTTGTAGACGGGGGCATCAATGTGGCACCACAACGCTTACGGTGCTAACAATGTACAACAACGTTGTGACACATTTTACCTTTAGCAAAAAAAATTGCAGCTCCTGCGATTATGATATTGCACTTGGCCATATTAAGATTTCGATCATATTTCGATTAATTCTGCAGACCTACTCAAGACTGATACAACTATTATATCTGTCTGTTCTATACTAAGCTAAAGCCAGCGGCAGTTAGCTTAGCATTAAGACTGAAAACAGATGTAAACTGCTTGCCTCAATCTGTATGAATTAACAAACTAGCACCTCTAAAGCCCACTAATTAACACGCAAGATCTTGTTTGCTTAATCCGCTGAGCTAACCGGCTACTGAATGTAGCTTTATAATGAACAGATAAAAGAGTGACATTAATCATCTCATCTAACTCTCCGCAAGAAAGAGAATAAACTTTATTTCCAGAATGCTGAACCATTTCTTTATAGAGATGATCGATAAAGATTCAATGTTGCAAATGACAAAGTTAGTACCACCGTTAGTGCCAGTTACTTTTACAAACACGTCATACAAAACACATCTGCACAAAAAAAACATTTACACAGATGTCAGGACTGTTGCTTTTAGCTCATCAGATCCTGGGTAACGAAGCCACACATGCTGAACTTATCACTGTTCATGTCAGCTTTATTTGTCAAAATCAAAGATTTCCTCAAATATTCTGTGAGTTTCTGTGACCTCCACCTCTTCCTCCTCCTCCTCCTCCACAACAGCAGCAGAGCCCTTCACCCGCCTCTCCTCACCTTCCACCTCAATCCACTTCACTCCTCCACCTCCGAAGGGCCACTCCAACTCCTTCACTGTGTTCTCCGCCTTACCTATGGGAGTTACTGCTATCGCCTCAGGCTGCGAAGCTGTGCTCCATTCAGTGACCTCTCTGCTCGTCTCTGGTTTTGGTGCTGTTGTTGTTGTTGTGGTGGTGGTGGTGGTGGTGGAAACCTTCTTCCTCTTCGGGGTTGTGGTGGGTTTAACTTTAGGTGCTATCAGCTCTATTGTCCATGGTCTGCTGCTGATCATCTTGGTCACTGGAAAATGGTGATTTTTTGTTATTAGAACATAATCAGAAATAACTGTTAAAAGAAAAAATATATAAAAAAATACCCATTTATGGAAAGCTAAACTAATCATTAGAATAGTATTAGTAGCAGTAGCAGTCATTTGAAGACATTAGCTTTTTGAATAATGTCTCAAGACATTGGTATAAAACTGCTTAACTAAAAAGTCTCAAATTTCTTACATGTAACTGAAAAAGCATATCTAATCTCACAGTGAGGTCCCACAATGCTACATCTATATTCTAACTAATCATAACAGTAAACAAGTATTATTTGTAAATCAACCAAGTCTTTTTCAAACAGGTCACAAATATGTTGTTTGTTTTTTTCTTTTTTCCGGAATCAGCTGGGGTCTGTAGTTTTAGATAACATTAGGAGTCAGGAGTGAAATGGTGCATTTATTGGGGGCTATTCAGAGCTGCGAACTCACACACCTTTTATTTTGATGACCCTGAGTGTATGTATGCCTTTGTAAAGAGGTAAACATGTCACCCAGTGTGTCAGTGTGGCTCACTAATGTATTTCTATGGAAGTCTTTGGCACAGAGGATTAAGCTGCATCAGACTTTGGATAAAGGCAGTGTCACCGTTTCGTTCATTGTTTTGGTCTTTTCGTGGGATTTGTTGACAGTACAGAATTTCCCCAGCTTTATGCTTTAATAACAATGGGATTAGTTTTATTATTGGAGGTGAGAGCAACAATGACTTACCTGCAGATGCAGCAGAGCTACAGCTGGAGTCGCAGCAGGTGCACACAGAGTCTGATCCATACAGCTCAACCCATCTGAGAAAATCAGTGATGAAGAGCTGATCCCCATTTTATCAACTTTTTATTTCTCATTCTTCGATTTCATCAAGAAAAAAAAAAAACTCTCACCTTCCTGCTTTTGTGTCGTAGTTGCAGGACTTGGCTGTAGGCGAGGGCACAGAACTGCCCACAGACATGGTGCAGTGCATGTAGAGCTGCTACAGGAGATCAAAGACAAGATTTGTCACAGGTTAAATGCTTCAGAGTCTTTTAGCACAGTATTAAAACATGATTTGTGGCAAAGGAATCAGCAGTGGCTGCAGAAAAACAACATCCATCCCTAAAAGTACAGCATAGAAATAACATGTAATAACTTGCTCACCTTGTCCATCATTCCCTTGAACATGAAGGCATCCACAACGAATCTCACAGCATTGTTTTTGTATGGGATGAACCTGGAGTGATTGTCCTTGCTTTCAACCATACACCTTTATCAGGAGGAAAGAAAAGTGAACCAAAACGTATTGTAATTTATTGCAACGTTTGTGTTTTTGTTAAATAAAAACTGAGCGAGGACAGATCTGAAGACATTCAGCGAGTGAGGTGTTTATTACCCAAAGTTTTTCACAATGGGAAACTGAAGCGCGGAGGTGTGGGACTTCTCGGGAGTCGCATAACACAAGTGGACGTACAGTCTTTTGTCTTGGGACATGGAAGGAGCCTCGGCCTCAAAGTACATGGGCTTTCCAAGCGCGTACTGATCTGACGGAGAAAGTCTTTCCCACTGAGCTGAAAGAGGGAAGAAGGAAGCAGGAAACAAGACCAGCAGCAGTTTCAATCTAGTCCAATACAACATGCATGCAAGGAAATCCAGGTTTTCCTGAATTTAAATAAATACAAGAACTCAGACTTGAGAAAGGTTTAGTGAAATTCAAAGCCTGAGGCACAAATATGATTATCATATTGACATATCACGTTGAATAATGGTAATAATGATTCAACAAACCAAATTTAAGCAGAATGTGGACATTAACCATTTCACACCAGGACGGTGCAACTTATAATAAGATTACACTGCATATAATACAATTCTGTCATTTTTACATCACCTTTAGTAAATTTTTTACTCATCTTCAAACGTGAAAAGTCTTTTATTCGGTTTAAGACATTGCTCTAGTCCACAAAAAGACAAGGAATTAACATTTTTCTTAACAAAGACAAATCTAAGCGTACTTTTGCTTAACCATTTGGGGGTTTTTTGTTTGTTTTTATTTACTTTAAAAACCCTAATGTTGTTAGTGGTCAACAGATACTACTACTACTACTACTACTACTACTACTAATAATAATAATAATAATAATAATAATAATAATATTTCCATCAAAATACTTGTATTTTACTTGATGGGAACATTACAAGGGTTAAGGCCATCTATCAAGGTAAATTATCATCTCATCAATTGTCAAATCAGACTTTTTAAGACTTTTGAGAACCATAGAAATCAGGATTAGCTGATAATAAATCTACCCTTATTTAACCCTGATAATATGTTTTAGTAGGTTTTTACCATTTCGTGGAGTCAGAATGAATTTTGCTCTGTTCTTCATTGGTTTGAAGATCTTACGCATCCGCATCTTCGGTGTGTAGCCAATTTTGTAGGAGTACAGGTACCTAAACAGTTAAATACATTGTCTGTTTTTTTTCTTTTTTTTTATGTTAATATGTGATTTTGATGTTGTAAAATTGAAAGAACGTGGTGCAGAATGCTCAAATCTCACCTGTTATAATAACATGAAACAGGTAGAGTGAAGGGCACAGCTCGCCTGATTAGTCCTTGGAGCCTTGGTGGATCATATTGCAGTATGTTTGAATAGGCCACCTGGTTATCACTTATCTGCAAAAAACAACTAACTAAATCAATTAATTGATTGGTCTACACAAACATATCACAACATCCTAGAAGCAGAGGTGACTTCATCAAAGCCCCAGGTTTATTTACACATCATTGGGGTCTACATAATTTGATTAATCTCACATTTCTCATGAATTTGTTGCCACTGAAATTATTTCCCAGTAAGCACATATACGACGCAGCAATGTCTGAACCAGATTGTGACATCTACAGTTCGTGGGCCATTTTGAAGTGTCCTCCACTGATCGTGTGAACATGTTCCTCCTGTCCCATGAAAACCAAAACGTAGCAGGGATGTGAAATGATGTAGGTGCAACATAGTTCCAGTAATGCCCCCACAGAGACAACGAGACACAGATGACAAAGTTGACAAAGATGGAGGCTGCATCGTGTGCTGTCAGACCCTTCAGTAGGTTTGTAGTTAATCCTAGTGTAATGAAAATATGTGGAGGTTGTGGAAGCATGTGGAATTTGGAGTTTATGAGGATTCTTGAGGTAGGACATGATTTAATGCTGACTAACACATTTTAGTTTTTTTTTACTATTACATTTTGTTTATTCCAAAGACGTCACAGAACATTTTTTAGATTCAAATTAAAGGAACCATTTGTAGGTTTTGCTACACAGCCAATGTTAGCATTAACAGCTGTTTACTTACCAGTTTAGAAGAAATGTTCATCAAACTTCTTTCCTTTACTCGCTAAGAGCCGTCTCCAGCGGTGGAAAGCAACGATAATGTTAACTCTTGTTCCTATCACTTGTTTTCTTCTACTGAAGCTAGCATGCTAACCAGCTAGCCCCGGCCTCGTTGGTTTCCGATAGCTACTCTCTGTAGCATCCAATCTGCCCTGAAAACGTAGCGATGCTCGGACGGCGTATTATAACCTCTTGTATTATAAAAACAACAAAATCGCCCCGGATATTACCGAACGCCTTCGCAGAACCTTCCTTCAGGAATGTCGCCTGAGCATCAGAATTGGTCCAGATGTGGAAGTAGTATCTTGCAATCATGCTTTATATGGGCTAGATTCGGGCCGTGGAACTGGTGTATACTGGGCCCGAACAAGCATGTGGCCATAGTGTAAAAAACAACAAGTCAAAGGCTCACTTTCATCAGCTTACATAACTAAAGTTATACAGCTGAAATTACTTTCAACCAGTGGGGGGAATGCAAGTTACCTTTCTAACCCCATAATCTATCTTTGTAGTGTTCCCCTTCACAAACATTTTACCTTACAGCGCTATAGCCCAATTCATCATACATCACATTTTAAAGGTTCTCCCTTTGGTTTCCTACTTTAGGAGAGAGTGCTGCATGTTCTCAATTAAATTGAACTGATTTGTTGTAAAGTTGTGTTTTACCAAATTGCTTCCCAGGCTCTGTTATTCCACAATTATATTCATAATCAATTAGGCCTATTTGAATAATAATTGATTGACTGTCCAATGAAAAAACAGTTTGCCATCATAGAAAACTGAAATACACAGTGAAGTTCAGGCATTTTGCTAAAAAATGACTTCAATAATAAATTATCTACATTTTTGCCATTTCATGTTTTTGTCAATTGATTAATTGACTGATCATTTCAGGTCTAGAGTACTGGTTGGTTTCTAGGTGCCTTGTGGGGAACAATAGGACCCCAACAACAAATCTTTGCCCTTGGGCCCTTTAAGAGGTTAATGGCCACGCTAATGGGGGCATTATATCATGGAAATCAGTGCAATTCATCCTCTGGGAACCATTGGATGTCTGTACCAAATTTGGAGTCAGTCTATTTGATGGATGTTGAGATGTGTGTTAAAACTCACCGTGCGTTTGGTTCCGCACCTGCCGAAGTCATATTCAAAGTGAAGGTGATCCTTCGTAGATCTACTGGCTTGGCATGTCCCAAGTTTGAGCCAAGTGTGCGGTTCACCGGCGCCCAACATGCTCCTCTGCACCTGCACATGCATTTTCTCCAGCTTGCACGAAGTCCTCACAGAATCTCCCGAAACGCTGGGCGGACTGGTGCTGACCGGCCGAACCGGAATCAGGATCTCCCGGACGGGCTCAGGCAGAGGCTCCTGGCCGGTGCCTCTGGCTGGAGAGAAATGCTCCTTCTCCACCAGCGGGAGGCTTGAGTCCACAAACATGGGAAGATGGAGGTACGGCGGCGGCAGAATCGGTGTATCTCTCCGGGAAACTTTTGTTATCAACCGGGTTGTTTGATTTAAAGTCTTCAACCTCAGCAGCGCTTCTCCATCAGAGGGGGCCAACAGCGGTAAAATAACAAACATTGAAAGGTAAACCATATAAAACATTTTAAACTGTTTTTTTTATTTTTTTTATTTATTTTAATCAAACCTGAGAAACGAATATAATCACTGATGATGTGCTCTTTCGTGTGGGCCAAATCAACAGCACCTGGTGGTGACGGTGTTGCCGGATTGACTGACAAAAAGCCCCAATCAGAGCCGAGGACCCGCCCAATCGTGGCAAAAGTAGTCCACTGATTTCCGCTGTAGACTACTACAATTAGAGACACGATTTTAACCTATATTGGATTATATTTTGGAAAAGTTAAGTACGCCGAAGTATCTACTGGCGGTACCCGTTTGCTATTTACCATTATCTGCATTGATTACTATTAATGAATTACTTTGACAATGAAGAAAACTTAAAAACGTGATGATTCCTAAGGCAAGTTCTGGAGACATAAGGAGCGTCTTTTTTCTTTATTCACGATAGACATCGAAGACAGTGAAGTCCTCGGAAAGTGTAAGTCACACTTTATGTCTACCATGTCTGTTTGTTTAGATATAATCGAAGTATGACGAGGTTTTGACGCAGGTTGTTCTGCTTATTACCGGGTGTATTTTCAGATTTATCCCAGTTTAACGAGTAAAATTGACGCACCCGTTTCATTTCAAGAAAAGCACAAGTGGAACTAATAACATCAATAATGGCACCTCTCCCTGTAGGTGTGCCAATTTCAGGACCCTAGTGCATATTCACTGGCAGAGATAAAGATATTCATTATTTATTTTATATGTTTATTTATCTTTATATACAGCATATGGCCAACTGGAACTTTAATGTAACGGAGCTAGGAGTAATGTTATTAGGAGGACACATGACTAAAAACACCCATTACAACGTATTGCTTTTAAAAGGTGTAATGGGGCACAGATACCTTCTTTATCAATTTAAATCAATAAACTTTTTGTATACTACACATATTCTTTGCGTGTGTTCAATCTCATTAGCATGCACATATGAAGCTAATGCTTCATCTCCCAAGAAACTTCACCTGTCTTTTTTTCCTCTTGGTAAAGCTTAATGAAAACATGTAATGTACAGGTCAGGTCAGGTCAGGTGTGGAGGTTCTCAAGCAAAGCTTTCACTCTGGCCATGTAGACGGTCTCGATAATACATTCTCCACCACATAGCCTGAGTGATACTGTTTCAGCTAAGAGCTGCAATGATGAGTCACTTGATCAACTGTTTTGACAATTCATTTATTGTTTCAGCCGCTTTTCAAGCAAAAAATTTCAAACATTTGCTGGTTTTAGCTTCTCAAATATGAGCATTTGCTACTTTTCTCTGTCACAGGTGATAGTTTTATGAAATGAACTGACAGATCAAGCACTTTTAAGATGACACCTTCGGGCTGTGGGAAGTTTCAACAGGCACTTTTCACTACTTGTTTACATTTCATGGAATAAACAAATAATTGATTATTCAGAAAATAATTAGGTCATTAATCAGTGAGGAAATAGTTAGTTGCATTCCCAGTCTCAATGGATTCACTCAAACTTACAGTATGTTATTCTGTTATGTTGAATTACTGCTGCCACTGTCTGGTGGAGTTTTTCCTTTTTTCATGGAGGATTTTAGGATGAAGGGTGAATAAAACAGTGTGTACATATTTACATATAGAATGTAAAAACCTATGAGACAATGATTGTGATTTGGGCGTCCGTGAATGAAGTTGACTGATAAGTGGATAGAGGTAGTTTATTTTATCAGTTTGTATAAAAATACTAAAAATGGAAACAGAGGTTACACCCTCCCCTCCAAAAACAGCTCTGCAGCCAGAAAGCTATGTGTTTAGAGATTTTTTTTTTTTAGCAATAATCAGAGAAAAATCAAATTTTTCCATCTCACACTCGTTTTAAAGCGAACCTTGGTTTAGCACAGATTAGTGCACATTTACTTAAAGGGAACTGAGTACAATGTCAGTCTATCAGAGGGCAGAAAAGGCAACTCCAAAGCATGCATGACAAACTAGTTCTTTCAAATTGCTTTAATATTTTTCTATTCACCAAAGTGAGTATGAAATAAGGAGTGTGAGTAATGTGCCAGTCCAGTAGGGGGCAGCAGGTGTTGCAGCTCCGTTGCACAGGTGTGTGTTGCAGCATTCATTGGTGAAGGTGAAGTTGAGTCCCATGGCATATTTTTCACCCGTGAGTCCACACAGGGCGGGCAGGACGCAGCTCTTCTCATACAGCACCACATGGAAGTCTCCTGAAAGTTCAGTAGAAACATCAGTTGAAGAGTCGCACACACAAAACAAACCGCACTGACACGACTCCCTCCGCGCTCAGCCTTTCTCAGTTCTTTTTCTCAGTTTTGATTCATTTAAATTTTGCTCAGTGACTTGACACGCCCTCACCTTTCATGCCCACAGCTCTGCTGGACAGACAGAGCTGCCCGGGTGGACACTTGAGAGGAAATCTGATGCAGTCCAGAGGTGAGATGGCAGGGAAGACACAAGTGTAACAGAAGAGGGGAACTACAAGACAGATGTGTTGATTAAAACCACACAATGACTTTTAATAGTCTTTTGCAGAGGATTGTGAGTGATATAGTAATTCTGATGCAAGACACGATGAGAAGGACAGAAACTGTACCATCCATTGCTTTGAATTTAAAAACAGGCAACAAAATCCTCAAGCGTTAATGTTTTGTAATTGATGAGCTCATTTAATATTGTATCATTAGAATTGGTGGTATTTGCTTCTGCAATTGTATAATTATTATGGAAGTAAAATAAGTTGAAATTTATATAATACATCATTGTGGAGACAAAAGGTGATACATTGGCAACTATTTGATAATTGATTAATTGTCCGGGTCATTTTTTAAACTAAAATGCTAGAAATTTGCTTTGTTTCATCAAATGTGAAGATTAGCCTGTTTCTGTTTACATTATAGTAAGTTGAATATCTTCGAGTTTTTAAGACGTCACATGGGCCTCACGGAAACTTCTTTCTTTCACTATTTTCTAACATCTGATCGACCAAACAGTTAATCAATTGAGAAAATAATTGGCAGATTAATCAAAATAATCTTTAGTTGCATCCCTCTTAGCTGCAAAACCCTAGTGTTTCTGCTGGCAACAGCATGCATCTTTTGTACTCATATACACAAGTGAACACACAGTCATGTTTTGTTCCCTTACCCACAGCTGGAAGTAAACAGAGGAGAAGCAGAGGACAAACCAGCTTCAACATTACTGACTGTTTCTGTCTCACAGGAGGAAAATGCTCTTGTGGCTCGATTCTTCAGCCTTAATGTCTTCTTAATGTCGTCTCTTTCTTTTTTATCTTCTAGAAAAAACCATCCGTCTTCATCTTGAACACAAGAAACCTGGTAAAGTCTTGTTTTTTAAAGTCAGTTTCCAGTCAGCTTTATCCAGGCTTTCTTGGCTTCCTCATGCGGCCCAGCTGCAGAGATCTGAAGGTAAATCTCTTCTGGTTTCTCTAGATATTCTGTTAATTAACTCCAAGAATCTCCACACCCCAATACATATGATTCAATTAGACTGTTAGCTTCCCGGTGACAGCAATGATCTTTTCGGTGCTGCCTGGGCTCGCTGTCCTGTAGAGAATGGGCCCCATTCAGATTTAAGAGAATCAATGGAGCTTTGTTGGGAAACAACACTCCAGTATAAAATTGATATACAAAGTGTCATTTTATGTCTTATGCCATGTTTTTTAAACAGAGTGATAAGACACATTGCCTGTATTAAGGTGAAACAGGGCAGGTTTATTAAATCGTGTCTTATTTCCTAATGAAAGACGTTGAGTTTGGTGGGAGTGCTGTCAAGTGACCTGCAGTCCCATGACTAAACAGCGCATTGGAAGTAGGGACAGTGCCATGGTTTTTAACTTTATGGAAAAAAGATGTTGAATACACAGGTCTTTTAAGGCTGTTTTGGTACACAGAAAAAGGCGGCTTGTCGGTTTATGTTAAAATAAACTCTAATACCTTTAGTTTTATAAGAAAATGTATAGTTTTCAGTGAGGAATGGCGGTAATATTGTTAGATAAGATAATCATATTAGACACCACTTCATCTCTGTACACTCTTTCTCTCTGTTTCTATTTTTCAGCCATACAAGAGGCCCTTGTTCCTACCACGGTAAAGATGACCTAATTAGACCACAGTGAAACTGCAAATAAATCTTGGCATTTCTTTTAAGACAGGGAAAAAAAAAACAGTTGGCCGGGGTCAGTCACATAATTAATACAGGCCATGAAAGGTGATTTTCTAATACTTGACTGCGTTTATCGACGGTGACTCAATAAAGCTTTGACTAACTGTCAGATTTTTGGCTGTGCTCTCTCTCTCTCTTTCTGACCAAGAAGTGTGAAGTTTTCAACAGAAGAGTCCCGCACTTTGTTTTAACTTTTATTATCAGTGTTTGAAATTTTATTGCACAAAGGGGGGGGGGGCAGGCAGAGGGCAGAAGAAGGCCAAATGACCAAGCTGGGAAAATCTTTATGGATATCAGTTTGTGCTCTGGGTGAACTGAAACAGGAAAGGGCCTTGTCTAAACTGGTCCAAAGGTGATTCTAAAGGGCCGAGCCCAAGATCAAACGTAAACAGGAATAAATGACCAGGGTGTCTTTATACTTTTGGCCATATAGTGCAGCTTTTATTCTATTCTGACCTACATGAACCAGAACTTTTTGCACACAGCTGCTTTCAATTCTCACCACACATCAAATTAAGGCTATCATCTCTCTCTCCCTGCTGCAGCTCTACTCAACACAAGACAAGGAGAGTTGGCCTCTGGATGCCCCCTGCTGGAGGAAAGAAGGCACGGTTCGCTTGTCGACCTGCTGACGCCTCATGCGGACGACACCTGCATCCACTCGCACTGCTGCTCTCTTGCCGTGCAGGTCATCCAGTAGTTGCAGACAGGCGCGCTGCAACCTCGCCAGCTCAGCCTCAGAGGACATTAGACATTGCTTCAGCACCGCACTGCTCTGAGAGACACACAGGAAACACATTTAGCCTGATTTCTGATTCAGTGTTAAACCACTGAATGCTTTTTTTAAAACATATGGTGTGAACATCTGCCAATACACACAGCATACATGCTTATATTATTTGAATATGAAGGTGCTCTGGTTTACAGTTTGTTTGTCTATAATCTTTATTTTCACACATGAGGAGAGAAGGTCCTACTATCTTATATGAAAGGAAACTTTTCTTAAATATACCTCTCTAGCTATGTTTAGATGAACCTCTACTCCACACCTTGTTTGTTTTCTGTTATTACCTGTATTCAGATCAGTGTATGTTTTTGGGTGTCTTCTTTAACAGCCCTTATAATGCGTCATGGAGGTATCAGGAGACAAGTCCCAGTTTTGGTTTGTTTTAGATTAGTAATGCAGATTGTTGTCTGCAGTAGTGTGAGCGCAAGCTAACACAATAATGCCTTTTTCCTCAAAGGTTTATTTGTCACCGACCCAACAGTTTATTTGGGAATGTTTTCAAACGTTGGTTCCACTGTCCAATAAGGCATACTAGCTCATGGTTCATAAATAATTTATTAAAACTTTATAGATCAGTAACAAATCATTGCTAAGACCAAATATGAGGTTGGCAGGATGTGAAAAAATAAATTGGGCTGCTGTAGTAAACTTATCACAGGGTCAGACAGCTCTGTAATGTAAAAGGTGTTGCTGTGAGTGACAAGCCTGCAGAGAGTTATCGCCCAGCTCTGCAGCTCCCTTGTCGTTTAGCGCATTGTTTTAGTTTGGTTCAGTCCTACCACTCTCATCATCAGTATCATTGCCTGCTGTTGTTTTTGGTGGAAAAAGCTCTGATAAAATGCAGCATTCAAGAGCAGACAGGCTGAGTTAGTAGCTCTTAGTGGAGCTTTTAGCAGCTAAATAGCCAGATGTTTCCCTGAGGAGCTGGTGGTAGGGAACAAAAGGTGTTTGAACTATTGGAGGATTCGTCCTCATTTATTTAAGAGCTGAATATGATAGAAATAAAAGGAAACAACAAGCAAGCACAAGAAAATGATGTACACCAGCCAAATGGGTTATTACTTATCTATAAAGCATTAATAAATGATTAGTTAAGAATTAATATAACCATTAGTTATGAGGCAGAACCTCTTACTGAAGTATGAAGCAGAAGGTGGTGGAAGCCAAATGTCACTGTCGCCTTCATTTATGAGTGTATTTGACATTTTGGAGGAAGTAAACACCTGTATGAGATGAGCAGCCTCAGGTAACTGCGTGCCCGGGTGTCTCTGATAAACCTGCACCAGAGGCCTGTTGAGTTTCTCTCTGGACAGTATATCGCCACTGTACTCTGGACCCTGTGAACAGAATAACACAAGGGAAAACATCACCTTGTGGACACTGTCACTGAATCGCAAACAAAGTCACTGATCCTGTTCCACATGCACGCTAACCTGCGCTCTGCCGTGGCTGTGACGAATGCAGTTTATTTGCCTCTGCTTGCGAAACATGGCCTGTCGGGCGGCTGCAGACATCACAGTCAGGTTTTGCTGCGAAAGACAGAATGAAAAGAAAAACTCAAATTTCTGTACCGCATGCAGATGTTTCACACGCGGTCGTGTCCGTGTCTACCTGCAGACTGACTGTCTCTGCGATTTTCTTCACCAGGCCATCGTTGACGGTACAGTGAGCAGCTTTCTGCCTGGCGATGGCGTTGGTCAGCATCTGTCTGATGTTTTCCCTCAGTAGCAGTGACTGGTTGACTGTCAAAGTTGATGACTCTAAAACCTGTTTACACTCTGCAGGAGGACAAACCAGTGATGGAAAAAATGATCTTTTATCTGTTTCATTTAAACAAGCCATGGTGGACTGCTTTATTTTCTTAGGTCAAAAGGACAGTGAGCTTTTAACACATCTGCGTCTCATACCATTTAATTTTTACAGAACTATAACTGTTTTACTTCTGAGTACTCAGTTGGTGATGTGTAAGTGACAGACAGGGACAGTGTAAGCAGAAGAGATACTGCAGTAATAATGCACATATATTTGCACTCTGTACATTGGTAGTACAGTAGTTACTCGGAAATTTACATTTCATTTGCACTGCCATGAAATTTGGCAGACATTGTGCCTGCTTAACACCATCATGTTAGCATTTTCATCCTTGGTGTGTTTGCGTTAGCATTTAGCTCAAAGCACCACTGTGCATAAGTACAGCCTTACACAGCTGCTAGCATGCCTGTTAATACTAGTCTACGTGGCCACAATATTTCTTGTATATTCTGTGCACATTAAAACATATGAACACTGCAGTAAACTAGTTTCTTCAGTTTTATACTCTGCAAATACAGATATTTTCATATTGAATCCATAATTCCACATCGTACCTCTTTCAATTTTACTGGTTCCATTTTTTGGACACATGTTTTGCTCTTGGGATCTGCTTTTCCTGCTGCAACAGCAGGACTCCCTGCAGCGATTGATACAGTTTTACTTTCTGTCCTGAGTGTACCTGGTGTAAAGGGGCTGATGGCGTCCGTTTTGGTGAAGGTCTGGGCAGCGTTGCCGTGTCCTCCAGCAGAACCGCTGTGCGGCAGCAGCTCCAGGACACGAGCCCTTTCACTGGCACAGTCCAGCAGCCGTCTGCTGCTCTGACCCAGGGCCTGGAAGAGACAGATGAGGGACTTATGTCACAGTGGAGCTGCAACTTATCATTATTTCCATTACTGATTAATGTGCAGATTATTTTCTTTAATTTTGCCATTATTACATTAGTATTTACCTCAAAGCGCCACAGTGGCAAACAACAGCCTCACAGTTAAGCGCCTGGTATCCCTGGGGCCAGTTGCCATAACACCTTGAGTTAAGATTTTCCTTGAAATAATAACGGTTGCACAAAACACCTTTGTCTGACTGTCTAGAGTTGGATAACTCTACTTTCCACAGCTTGATGAGCTCTATGGTTTTATGTCACATGATCTGTCTGGTCAGGTAGAGTCCAGGTGTTTCATGTCCACAGGTGAACAGTGTCCCGGGTCACTCACTGAGTGTCTGCTCACTCTGACCGTCTGCTGAAGTTCCCGTCAAAACAACAGGAGGGTGAGAGAGCAGCGCACTCTTTTAATGTTGCTGTCTTCCAAAACAAACGGTTTCCATGGAAACGGTAGAATTATACTGCTGTAAAATCTCTTTCACTGCCGTAAATTACTCCTTCACTAAGGAAACCTTTTAAGAGATTTTGTGCAACACCCTTTAGTAACTCCCTCAGTGACGGAGAAATAAAACCTTAAGCGTTATACTTAAGTAGAAAACGTGAGGTGTTTTGTGCAACTGGCCGCAGGCCTTTATTTTTTTTAAATTAGCACTTAAGTATTTTCTTCAAAAAAAACAACAAAAAAACTAAAGAAACAACAACAACAACAACAACAACAACCAAAAATCGAGGGATCAATCGAGAATCAAGTGATGATGAGAGAAGGGTGGAGACTATTCATGCATGGAGGCTTCAGGGGTGTTGGTTTTCTTCCATTAGCCACTAAATCACATGGATGTTCAAGTGGAATTGGAGAGAACAGAAAGAAACAGACGGAGTCGGGGGTGGGGGGTGGACCTTTGAAGTAAAACAAGTCAGTCGATGAAGACAGAACAGTGGCGCTGTAAATCACCTGTAGCTGGGTGAGTGTGTTTCTCAGTGCTCCCTCCAGATCTTGTTTCAGCTCAGCCAGCTCTCTTCTCTCACACAACAGCAAGTAATCAGCACCATCTCTCTCCTGCAATGCAGCAGACCTGTCAGCGAACGCATCTCCTCTCCTGACGAATTCAGTTCACAACACTGAACTTAATGGGTTAATCCTTTACATATCATTTACATATCTGGTGTTGCATTAGGCCTTAATGGTAAAATCATAACATACTGTATTTCAGTTATTATTGAAAGGATTTAAAGATGATTTCATAATGTTAGAGGTTTTTTAGGATTTGAACTAAATTTGATGGAAGTTTTCGAACTTATATGCTTCTATAGGTAAAATCTCTAAAAACATGTCCTGTGCTGTGGTGCTGTGCAGAAAATAAACTAAATATTGTCAGAATTAATCTTTTCCTCAGATTAATTTAAAATGTCCAAAACTAGAAGTGGTTCAGACCGAAAGTTGAAAACACCTGAGACAACAGCCAAGTGTCAGAACATTGTCCTTGTGGTCCGACTCAAGCAAAACACCACAGTTGATCTCTGGAGAAATTCTCTCTTTGGTGTTTCTTCTCCATGAGAAGGTCAGAACGAAACAACAACAACAAGCCCTGAAGTGATTAATGATTCAGTGTTTCCCTCATGGAGCATCTGGTCATATGACTGTATTTATCACACCGTGGCCCAAAGAACAAAGCACATAGGAGACATGGATGGACGGACTGAATGGGCCCACCAGGGTCAGGTAGAGCCTCTGTTTGAAGGGACTATTGACATATTTTGTCATCTCTTTCAGTCTGAGGGACTTGCTTCTATACAGGAGGGGTGGGGGACCTTTTACATGTGTGTGCCCAGGGGTCTATAGTCTCATCTGCCCATGTGTGGAGAGCATCCTGATAAGAGCACACTGGGTCAAAAGAAATCTGTAGCTGTAATCTATAGCTGCAGCAAAGTGGATACGAGACTCGCTGTTTATGTTGTGGATTTGCTGCTCTGTTCAAACCGATAACAGCCAAGTTGTGCAAACTTACCGTCTCAGCAGTGGATGGCCTCCTGGTCCTCCCCTCTGAGCTCCTCCTGTTGACGGTCAGATCAGTCCTGAGGCTGCGCAGCATCCTCTCCAGGTGACCCCTCTCCCTCTCCAGCTTGATCCCCTCCTGGGTCACCCTGCCGGCCTGCCTGCGCAGCTGGCCCTCCACCTCCCGCACCCTCCGCATGTACTCACCGGCTACCGCGGCGCTGGCTCCAGCACACTGCTCACGCAGGCTGGTAGGTGGGAATGGGGCCACAGGTGTCCTCTGGGACCCACTGGGGAACTTGAGAGGAAAATTAAATAGCAATTTCCAAATATAAGTACAACTTTGAACTACTTGCCCTTCACTTGAGTTTCTCTTTTTTATGCAACTTATGTTGCTCTACATTCCGGGTAATATTGTACTTTTTACTACACTACATCTATTTAACAGTACATAATTACTTTATTAAACCATGAATATGATTAATGTGAAAAACTATATTTGAATGGAGCCACTTTGTATAATGAATATTTAACTTCATCTCATATACTATAAATATAGTTTACTGATACTTATGCATTTTCAGTGAAGTATAAATTTTAGCAGTGTTATAAATACTTTAAGTAAACGATACGATTACTTCTGCCACTGCTGTCTGTACAAAACAAAGTCATTATTGTCTTTATAAAAAGATGAAGTTGTTCTGAGATGTTCCATAGCCAAATTAATTAACTGTAAGTGCGTTTAACCTCCCATGAAAACTTCTCTTAACTGAACTTGGGTGTTAAATTAAAACTTTTATAGGACAGATGTTGCCGTTTTTTCTGACTGTTTTGTTCAAGTACACAAGAGTAACCTGACAAAAGCATCTGGTGAACCTCTGAAAATGCACCAGGAACCCATTTAAGGATCATGACAGGAGGTTGGGGACCAGTGACCTTGGTTAGCTTTACCTGAAAATAAAAGTCTAACATGATTGTGATACACTTGTAATATACACAGCCCCTTCTGACTATTAAACTTTATGACCCAAATAATAATGTCTAGTCAGTTATCATTATCATTGTCACTTGCCACTGCTCCCTGTATTTTTCTCACCGTCGCTCCTGTAGTCTGGGGCCTCAACATCTTGTTTTCGCAGATGCAGTCACGACCCTCTCCGCATTCCTCCTCTGGGATCTTATCTTCGGATGTTTCCGCTGTGCCGCCTGAGCGCTTCGGGGTGAAACCGGCGGCGCTGCTGCTGATCCGGGACCGCCCTGCCCGAGTCTGCCGCACCAGGCGCTCCGCCCGCTGAATGGAGCGGACCGTCCCATCGCGCCAGGACAGCGGTCCGATGGTGACAGAGCCGAGGGGAACCGACTGGACCTGCATTCCTTGACATATAGTTTCCTCCTAAAAAAAATGTCTACTGCCAACTGTTATCTCTCTGAATTAGATAAACCCCTCTAGGCCACTGTGAAGCATCCAGGGTGAAAACTTTGTATGAATTGTTGGTATTAGCTCCATAGCAACAGTTCCTGAAGTAACTAGAAACTCAAAGCTGTTTGGTGATTGGACAATAAGGAGACGACAGGGGGCACTGTCAATCAACACTTTTCTTTTAACGTTCATTTTCCCCACAGACAATGTTAATGCTGAACCACATTTACAGGGAGGATCAGCATGAAACTCTCCCAGGTGAATCATCAGAATAAAAGATGAACAACCGTGTCTGAAAATATCTGGTTCTTTGCTGGAAAGTGAAAGGTACAAGCATGGGCAGATTATAAAACAATGGGGCCCTGGGCGCAGACACCTCTCCTACTGTATAGGAGCAAGACCCCCAGGTAGAAAGCACAAGAGGCAAGAGGAAAGTCTTTGTGGTAGTTTTGCCCTTTTCTGTAGTTGTTTTATGTCCGTATGTGCTTTTTGTCTCTCTTTGGGGTTGTTTGGAGTCTTAGAAGTCAGTGCGTGCCTGTTTTAGTGACATTTTGCAAATTAAGCCTTGCTATGGCCCTTAGCGGCCTCCTATGGTGGTTCAGTTATCCATTCACAGATACAAGCCTGTATTCATGAAAACTCCTGAGGGAGAGGTTAACTACAACTCCCAAGGTGCCTTTTGGCGAGAAATGTCCAAACACTGAGCCTAAAATTCACTTGGTGCTGCTAACGGCGAGAGAAAGCTAAAGATGATGATGTTGAGAAAGAGACAACACAAACTGCAGTTTCAATCAAGTCACTTTTGAACTCTGTGTTAATTTTGGATGAATTCAGCAACTATGACGCCATGTTTTGTTCCCTAATTCAAACACAAAGCAGTTTGAATTAATTGCCGCTATGATTCACAATTCTGACTGGCTTTTTCTCCATGGCAACGGTGGCAGAGGGTCATGGGTATTGTAGTATTGAGTCCCATCCACCATGTCAAAATGATGGAAAAAAACATGATTCATCAGAATGACATAATTAGAAGTGGTGGTCATAACATAAATCCTACTTAAGTGAAACTGAAGATCTCGTTTAAAGAAACGTTTGAAGGCAATGCATGATGGTTAATGAAATAACAGCATCTTCAGACATCTAAATAACTTGGATCAGAGTGTTTAATTCTCTTGAGCTAAAAGAAAGATAATGCATACGTCCCAGGTTAACAATACAAGACATGTAAACATTGAAGATGATTGAGAAAAGTACCAAAAGAAAATAAAAAATGTGACATATATAAAAGCAGAAAATGAAACTGGTTAAAAATATTATTTTGGTCCTAAGTATTCCCCTCCACAAGCACCAATCTACCACTGTAAACAAAAAAATTGGCAGATCTCCACTGAGAAAGTACAAAGACAAACACAAGACACCAATGCAAAGAGCTTCACAGAATAAAGGGGGGCACATTCAGATTTAAAACAACATCATCCCCTCACCCCCTCTCTGAAAGAACTTAATGAGACTGACTCAGATCCACTAACAATCACACCATTCAGAAACGTACCAGCAACAGTCTCACTGCATGAATTGAAATCTGCCTTACCATTAGACCCATTACATTAAAAATAACTAGATACAGTAATCTGGTGGTCTTTAAATCAAGTATGAATCATCCAGCTGTGAGAAGCTACACCTGACATCTCTCCACACTGAAAACAATCAGGCTGTGTCTGACTCTCCAGCTAGTAATCATGGGAAATTAAACTCTTCCTTGGGCCATGGCAGAGCAAGGTGGGTCTGCCAGTGCAAACCTCAATAAAAAAAAAAACTGGAGAGATAAATATAAATAGACTTCATGTACACCACGATAAATATGTTGAAGAGGCAAAAAGGTGGTGCAGAAAGTGCTAAGTACTCCTCCAACTTTGTGCTGTTAGTTTGCGTCTTTGTCATTACGGGGCGTTCTCCCCCCGTCTCACAGTGTGTGTTTGACGGCCGTCACAGGTTCACGTTTGTTCTGCAGGTTCTGCTGCAGCTCTCTGAACAGATGGTCCCGCTCCTCAGCATCCAACAGGATTTGCTACGTTGGAGAAAAATAAAGATCTCAGTCAGTTCATAATGAGGCTTTATCGTTGCTGGTTTTTCCTCGTTTCACGTTGACAATAAGAAAAATATAAAAGCATCAGACATTGGAATACGTAACATTGATGGCTTCATCTATCCGTTAAAGTGATACCATTTCCTCTTACAAACAGAAAGACTCTTGGGTGTCTTTTATATTAATGTTCATTGATAAGGAGGAAGAAATATTTCCTGGTAGCTCACAGGCTGCATCACTGGTGGATTTTAAAACTTCGAAGCCTTAAGTAATGACCACTGTCATGAGCACAGGTGATGCTCACCACCACGTCCAAGTCCACTCATACATTTTCACATCAGTTTAGGAATTGAAATTATAACAGAGTAATTTTTTGGCCCATTTCAAAATATCCGACAGTGAGCAAGCATTACCTGACAGGATGTTTAACTTAGTTTGCTTACATGCTGCAAGTGGGAGGATTTTTTAGCCACTTATGCCCTTCTCTTTCATGGTTACCTCACCACCTCGCGGCTGTATGCCTCCGCCAACCGGCCGAGTTGCAGAAAGTATGGTCACAATCTTGCCTCCCTGAGTTACAGCGTTGAGAAAAATGTGTTTTTGTGGAACATTACGATGCCACACTGAAGTTGACATTTGACCATATGGACATAAAATGTCATCACTTAATTTTATCCTTATGGACATTTGAGTTAATAAGGGTATAGATTTCTGAGTTATGGCTAAAAGCGTGTCTTGTGAGGTCACAGTGACCTTGACCTTTGTGCCGAATCTGAAGAAATGATTGGGTTATTACCGGCCCTGACTCTTGCTAGTGCGCAGGCATAAAAATCCTTCTTATATGAGATGAATCTAAACAACTAGAAACAGGCTCTTTCACCGGGTTTCCTTGTTTGTTCAACTGATTATATTCAGAGGATATAATACATTTCTTACAGAGATCTTAGCAGGTGGAACAAGACATGCGTTTCTCTCCCTCTCTCTTAATGTTTGACCTTGTGCTGCTTCCTCAGTCTTTACTTTAATGTCATTCAACTCAGACTTATGCTGCATTCAAAGAAATACAGTAATTTTCAGACCTAGCAAGATTGCCGCTGTTGACCAGGATTACTTATTCAGATGTGAGATCGACATGTTAAATTGCCATCAGAGAAGGTGACGTAGTAGGTGATGTAGTTCTGTACCTAAATTTTAACACATACTGTGACTACATTGCAGGGTTACTGCTGCTGAGAAAATTAAAACCTCTTTGTAATCTACAACATATTTTCTCAGTGAGGCTGTGAGTAAAAGTAAAAAGACTCCCAAACCTTGACTTGAAGGATTTGAACCTGCCACTGATGTTTGGGATTAAGGTTTTTATTGTAGAAAAAAACAGAAACTTCCCTATCAAAAACAAAAAGAGCTACAAAAGTGCATCACGAGGTTTTCAAACTGTGTTCACGTGCTTCAAGGTATTTTTACTTCTTGCTATTTTTGTCTCCTTTTGTTGTCCTCCTACAGTAACTACTTCAGTGCCAAGTGAGCTTACATCCAAGCAGGGCCGGTCAGTGTGTGTGGTATGTGGAAGTGTCACACTACGCACAACAATAGTAACCTGATGACTCCTCTCAGAAAACATCCAGCCACGTTTATGATCAGTTAAAGATGGACCAGACCAAACTGGCGTGACAACATTTGTACTTGGACCCGTGACAGACACCAGACTGACAGTCTGTGCCTTCACCACAAAACCATCTGCGTTACCTTCACTCTGTCGGTGTTTAATCAAGTTTGCACCAGTGCAATTTTTCACTTGTTAATTCATAAATGTGGATATATATTTTTAAAAATTGGTTAAACTAAATCTCTCTGCGGGGATGGAGGTATTCAGGGCTGCAAATTATGATTTCTGAATGAAGGGAGGAAAGGTGAACATGGAGGGCTTGTGTATAATACATACATTTCTGCTTTTTGATAGAGAACACGTGTTTGGGTGTTATTTATTTACTCAGAGTTAATACTGTATGGCTCTTTGGTCTAAATGACCTTACTCCAGTATATAACCGCTGGTGTTAATATAACATGCATCATTTTGTAGCGCTCCTTATGCATACATGCACCGAATACTGATGACGGTCGACTATAGGGTCTCTCCGCTGGAGGATGACCCAGAAGCTTTCCAGGAACTCAGGAACTAAACCTGTGTTTCAACATTGAGTTCCTGTCCGACAGTGCCAGGGTCGAAAAGAAGCTCCTGCTGTGGGTGCAGTGACTTTTAAGAAAGCACTCTAGTATCAATATTAGGACTTGGGTTGGGTATTTGTTGTTGTTTATTAACATTGAAGACAAAGTTAAGCTTTGTTCGTCTGCTTCCCAACTCGCTTAAAAGTAAAGAGTGAAAGAAAGAAAGTGAGAGTGCAAACGAGGGCGAATGACAGTGATTAGTAATTAGTCTTCAGATGAAACAGGAGCAGGTGCTGAGAGTAGTTCCCTGCAGCACTTTACCTCTATGAGTTTGTCTCTCTTCTCCAGACTGTCCCTCAGTTTCCTCTCCTCTCTCGCTCTGTCCTCTCTGATGTTCTGCCAGGCTCTGTCCGCCTCCTTCTTCCCCTTCTCTCTCTCCCTCAGCTCCCGCCGAGTGTCTCTGAGTTGACCGGTCAGAGAAGACACTGTCTGACTGTGAGTCTCCTGCTGCTTCTGGTGAAAAGACAAATGCAAGAGGAATAGTTAGCGAGGCTAAGAGTTGTTGTTGGTCCTCAAATAAAATATGACAAAAGAAAAGCAGCATATCTTCTCATTTGAGAAGCTGGAACTGGAGAATCATTGTAACATTTAATTGATCATCAAAATTGTTGATGATTGTTTTCTGTCAATTCCACACCAGGTAAACACCACTGTAAGTCTAAATAAGTATCAGGTAGCAGGTGAAAAGGGAAAAGTCCTTCTCAATACAGAATAAACAGACAGCTTTTTCTTTTTCATTTTTCCCTTTAAAGTATAAAACTTTCAAATCGTCTCCTCATGCCAACATCTCACCTGCACCATGTCCTGGCATTCCTGCAGGGCTGTGGTGAGTTTGGTGATCTCCTGGCACAAGGCGGCGCCGTTTCCCTCTGTGTCTTTCAACAAGGCCGCTTGCCCAGCTCCACCCCCTGCCATCCCCCAACCAGTCACAGAGTCAGAGAGAGCCTATGGGGAGAGGACCTGCTGTGAGTAAAAGTTTCCCCCGTGGTCACCCAAGTCAATATTTACTGACAAACGTTTTCTGCCAGAAGAGGCTGAAACGCCTGAGCACTGCAGAACAGGCTCCTCATTCAATAACACAGAGAGAGTGAAAGCAACTTTCTTTGAGGGGTGAAATAGGTTAAATGAATACTTGTGTCACATTATATCCCAATGTAGAACATATACATATATATACATACATACATACATACATACATATATAGATACATATATATATATATACACACACACACACACATCATATACTATTGTTCTTCCATAATAATGGTAGTATAACAAAACCATAACAAACAGAAATTCTCAGTAAACCCGCAATGCTAATGTTCCAACCCTACTTAAAACGTTAAAACGACTTTCTAAGACAGATAATGTTGTATTCGCATCTTCTTTACTACAAATTATCTCTGTGTTTTTACTGTATTTGAGAGGAGAATATTAACTGTAAGTAAAAGCATACAGTACTGTGCAAAAGTTTTGGGCACTTTAGATGTTCCTATTCTCATCCATCATGCAGTTCCATCAGGGAGACGTCTGGTCGGTCCCAAATTGACTCTGCAGCATCACCACAACCTCAAACATACAGCCAGAGTCAGAACTATCTTCAACAACACATGGTCCGGCCCCCCTGAACATCATCATCACCATCAGGCTGGGATACATGAAGAGACTGAAGAACTGTGGCAGGTTCTCCCAGGTGCTTGGTACAACCTATCTGAAAAGGGCCCTTGATACAAGTGTACCTAAAGGGGCAAAGGGTGGTCACAGCAATATTGACTTGATTTAAGTTTGTGCTGTTTATTACAATTAATCTACAAATAAAAACTATTCATGGAATTATCTATTTTATTTATTTATTATTTATGAAAACATCCTACCTCAATATTTTTCACAAGTGCTGAAAACTTCTAGATTCTTTTTCCCCTAAAAAACCTAAGTTGGTCGTACTTTTTTAAGCCCTAAGGAGAGTCTGCAGGTATTCCTATTGCATACAGCACCTTCAACAATAAGGTAGGGAAGCCTGTATCTTGCCTGAGATGCAAAACTGAGGCCAAAGAAGTAGTTATGGGACTGCTGCAGCTCCTTAAGCTTATTTTGCTGCAGTAATAACAAGAGCTGAGCGTATTAGGATCTTTATCAACCCAGATCTTCTCACATTTGTATCATGGTGGCTGAACAGTGAGAGAACAATGTTCCTGGAGTCTTTAGTGAGTATATCTTTTTATATGTATATTACCTGCACATCTTTGTGACGGATCTCCAGCCCCTCTTTGAGGCAGTGGATCACAGCTTCCTTCTCCTGCAGGACAGCAGCAAGGGCCCGGTCCCTTTGCCTCCACACCTCTCTCTCTTTCTCCCCCTCCTTCAGCAGCTGCTCCTTCTCCCCCAGAGCCACCCGTAGGTCCTGGCGTAAGCACAAAATGCAGGTCAATCTAAATAAAACTTCAAGTGTGGGGACAAAGTACAAATGCACACAGTGCCTGAATGTAGAAAGAATGTGGGTGTGTGTTTTTTTTACATTGATAATATCCTGGTTGCACTGCAGCACACTGTTGAGTGTGTCAAGGTCTCTCTCTCGGTCTCTTCCGGCCTTCCTCAGCGCCTCGATCTCGTTCTCCATGCTCTTCTCTTGCTCAGTCATTTCAGACCTGAAAGTCTTCAGCGCAGCCTGCAGAGCACAGAATGTGTTGTAATCTACATTTCAGACATCTGGTTTAGATTAAAATTTGTTTATTACCCATATAAACTGAATATTTTCTACTGAAATTGGGTTTCGGACTCTTGGTCAAACAAAACAAGACATTTGTAGGCATCATCTTGAGCTAACAGAAATAAAAATTGGCATTTTACTGTTGTTTCCACAAATAATAGCTCTAGTCTGTACTTCTCTGGGCGCCAGATCACCAGATTGTAAAGGCCCAACACTTACTAAAGGGCCTTTGACATGTCAAGGATATCGACTGAAAATCCACATGAAGCACGAAATGTTGATCTTTATGTGCTTTAATGCCAAAAACAATAGAGATAACTCCAAAACACAGTGTGTAATCCATATTTTTTTCCAGAGCCAGAGGAAATTGCTGACATGGCCTGAGGTAAAAACAAAAAAACAAAAATACCCATCACAAGACCTGCTCTGCAAATACAAAAGCCTTCAGGGACAGGAGGACTGAGTCTGATGACTATCAGCCAATGTCTGTTGTGCTGATAACTAGTATGCTTCAGTACGTGGGTATTATGTTTCATCATAAGCAGATTCAGCAGTAAACACTTAAAGGATAACTCTGGGATTTTGAACCTGGGCCTTATTTTCCCCATGTTTTTGGATATAAATGATTAATAACCGGTCTAGTATTGAGCAAGAGCGGTCTACCCCGCAACCGCCAGACAGCTGCTGCAATGTAATCAAACAGGACGGTTTAGGCTAAAGGTGTAGGCTAACGTTATATGAATCAGCAACCCTCTCACTACTAGCCAATGACAATGTGAACCTGTCAGTGGTAAAAACAAGCACTTCTAGTGGACTACTTGATCACATTGCAGCAGCTGTTTAGTGGTTGCTGGGTACACCGTTCTCACTCAGTAGTGGACTGATTTTTGTCCCTATCAATCATTTACAACCAAAAACATGGGAAAGTTAGTCACACATTAAACAATCCCGGAGTTATCCTTTAGTGTCAGGATCAAAAAGGACAATGTCAGTTCTAACCTTGTTGTCAGAGAGAATTTCCTTCAGGTTCTCGGACAGTTTCTCGGTCAGCTTGTTGGCCAGCTCAGTACCTGCACCCTCCTCCAGACACAGTCTTCTGATCAGACCCATACACTCCTGGAAGAGAGGAAATATCTGTCTGCTTAGTGCAATAGAGCCAACAAACTCATGTAATGTAGTCTTTAGATGAGTTTGAGATTTAAGGCGTATCTAAGTGTGGATATTTGCAAGCGTCAAAGTTTATGAAGCCATTTCATGCAGGAATCAATACATGGGGCCATAATAAGCCGAGGGGAAGTCTTCATGTAGAGGCCAGAGCCGAGCTGATATGAATGCAAATGAGAACCACTGCAAACATCAGACAGCACCATCATAAATCCAACAGCTCCATCAAACAGGCAGCCACATTTATTACTTGTCTATACACCCTGAAACTCAAATCTGTTGAAACCTGTGCAAATCTGTTTCAAACCACAAGACTCGCTGTATGATTTCAGAGAAGATGTAAAGAAAATTTAAAAATGAATCGTGATACATTTGTTCATTATAAAGATTTAGGAACAGTTATCCTTTTTAAAGTGTATTTCCTATGCAACTCAATATTCACAGCATATAAACAGTTGGATGTCAACATATAGTACTTTTCTGTGCTCAGTGTGTGCAGGTTTTAAAATCACCTGGATTATTTGCATATTCTTCATATGCAAAGGGAACACAGTACGTCTACCAGCACCTCTGAAGCTCACTAAACAACATGTCATATTGTGTTTTTGTGGCATTTGGACAGAGCCAAAGTAGCTGTGGCTTCCCCCTGTTTCCAGTCTTTATGCCAAGCTAAGCTAACAAGCAACTGGCTGGAGTGTTATATCGAACCTGTCAAGTTATTAGTGTTGCACATCATAAAACCAGGACTTCCTTATACAGCCAATTATTGCTAATCTGTAATAGGCTATAATCCATTCAAGAACACTTTGGGTCAGATAAGAAAGTCTTATTTGTATTTGTATTATTTCTTCAGTCCTATTTGCCTTAACTGTTTAGCTATTACATTCATCTAGAGTGACTTACAATGAGTGCAGCAATCCAATAAAATTCCTGCTGTAAATCATCAACATAACAAGCAGCTAAAAATAAGAGCAGTCACAATAAAAGCTTTAAGAAAAAACATACTTGATTGTCACCAGTACAACGTGGTGAACAAACAAAGCAAAGCGAATGCAGTTTTGACGCTGCCACTTTAAGGGCGCGCAGTGACTTCAAAGACAAACCACATTCCAGTGAGCTTTGAGCCAGAGCCAGGGCTGTGGCAGAAGATCTCACTGCCGTGTGCATGACTGAGTCCTGTCTCCCCTCATCACCTCACCCACCTGGATCAGACGCTCCCGGCTGTGCAGAGAGTGACCGAGGCTCTGCAGCAGGAAACTGCCACCCTCCTCCTCCTGGTCCAGCTGGAGGAAAGAGGAGAACAAATTTATTTGTTCCTGCTTTAAAACATAAACCAAAAAAGCATGAAATTCTGAGCCCATCACATAAAAATAGTTGCAGTTTAATTTTCTTTCAATTGTCTAATTTGTTAATTGACAAATCGTTGCAGCTCCACTGGCTTTCTATTGTTGCTAATACAATACCTAAGCCTCATTACTGACAAAACAATGCTTTCTTTGATACCCTTGTTTGGGGAATATTAACATTGGATCTGAATCAATTAGTCAATTAATAGAAGATTTATCAGCAACTATTCATATAATCAATTAATCGTATCAGACATTCTTCAAACAGAAACTTCCTTTCAATCTTTCTTTGGTTACAGCCTCAAATGTGAGGATTTCATATTTCATATTGCCTTGTGTTTCTTGGTGTTAATGCCTTTTACTACTGCCTTTTGCTACTACTATCTGGGGAACAAAGTGGAGCTTTTAGCAGCTAAAGCGTTGGACATTTCCCTCACATTTTGCTAGAGACCAACAACAGAGCTAAATGAATACTGTTATATTTGCCAGGTGGCCAGAAACAAGCAGCCACAAATGAATGATCGTGTTACTCTGTAACTGCTGGACGTGCAAATAAGAAGCTGATTGCTAACAAGCTCGCCATATCAACTTAAAAGGTGATGATTTATCAGCATTGTGATCACGTGTTTAAACCTGCTGCCACTCCCACACATTTCTTACTAATGTTCATCTCTGCTCATCAGCAGCCCTCGTTCTGACAGAGATCAGGTGATGCGGACTCCAAAGAAGCTGAGAGAGGCCTGTTAATGATATTCTCTATCATAAGACTGCTGAGCCCGGGGCGAACTCCACTGGTCGGGGAAGATTCCAGAGAGGGAGGCTGTGTGTGTGTGTGTGTGTGTGTGTGTGTGTGTGTGTGTCTGCACCTGTAAATCTGGAAACGTGGACACACCCTTCAACAGACACAAAACACAGTACACCCACCCTCCATTCCTTTTCATAATGCTATATTTGTGCTCAGTCAACATTCACAGAGTGGTTCATGGAGCTGTTTGGACATGTGACTGAGGGGTGTTTTACTTGTGCAAGAAAAGGTTAGAGGCAAAGATCCATTATGACAGCTGGTACAAATAACGACTCTGTTACATCACTGGCATCTTCAATTCAATGTCCAATTGTATCTATTCTATTTTTAGATAATTATTGAGTTTATACATCTATGATTTGTTTTTCATTTTTATTCCATGTTTCAGATTTTATATGTTCATGAAGTATTAATGTCCATATTATTATTCACTTTATGAATTAAAACCACTTTAACCTCTTTAAAGGAATAGTTCGACATTTTGGACAATATGCTTCACTTTCTTGCCTTAATCAGTCAGATTAATCAGTCAATTATTTTGTCTATAATTTGCCAGATAGTAGTAAAAAAAAATATCCTGTATAATTTCCCATAGACCTATGTTACATCAGAGCTCTCATTATATGTCGTCTGTCTAGTCCATAAAAAACAAAGTGTCAACACTACAAATTGTGGATTTATGAGGGGTTATGTGCTGGAATACTTTTTGCCTGAATGAGTTTCAATGTGATAATTAGTGAGATTAAGAGGCGCTTGTAGGCAGATTGTTACCTTCAAACAGAGCCTGGCTAGCTGTTTCCCCCTGTTTTCAGTCTTTATGCTAAGCTAAGCTAACAGGCTGGCACGAACATGAATAAACACAGTTCCCAAAATGTCAAACTACTCTTCAAACATATTACTGGAGTGTGTGAGAGAACAAACTGAATGCTTACAGGTGCCCAGTCTGATCCGTTGACTTCAGTTGGTTCGCTCCTTCCGTGTTTCAGCTCAGCCTCCAGGGTCCGGATACGGGACACAGCTTGGTCCAGCTGGCCTCGCAGGTGCTTGACAGCGTGGTGAACCCTGCCTGTAGTGCTCTGGAGTGACAAATGATTTCACAGAAGACATGATTCGTGATGAAAATTAGTGAAATGTCTAATCTGTGTGTCAATATTTACAGCCACAGCATCTGGTCAGAGACAGGAATGAAATCACTCACCTGTCGATGAAGAGGCACGAACTCGTCCCTCAGCTCTGTCAGGACATCCCCCTCCTCTTCGTTCATTTCATCCACTCCGTTCTCCAAATCCCCAAAGTTCAGCAATCTGTTCACTGTGAGCGACACCATCTCTCCGCTTTTTCCAGAGTACCTCCTGTCCTTCTTGTCCAGAACTGGGATCCTGCTCCCTGATGGTGAACTGACTGGCTTCCCCTCGATGCTTCTGAGCTCCTTCAGCATGAAGTTGACTGACTGATCACCTGGTGAGTCAAACGGGTCATTGCCATCGAGAGAGTCCAGGGACTGAATGGACTCAGTGCGGGAAGACGCTCGTAAAGAGAGAATGGATCCCGATAGTGAAGCCGGGCTGGAGCAGATGGATGGCACCCTCTGCCAGTGGAGCGGCATGCTCTGGGATTTGTCCCGCGACCCTGCCAACGGGGAGAAGGGTTGGAAAGGCAAGCGGCGGGGAACCCCACAAATGTACTCATAATCCGAATCGGACACCCGTAAGGAATCACAGCCTTCACATCCTTTGCCCTTGCTGCATCTTTTGCCTGTTTTTGTAAAATACGGACACATGTCCCACTTCTCGGACCAGCACTCGTACTCTGAGAGTGCCATATTCTCCTTGAGCATCTCCCTGTAGCCCTCCTTATCCGCCTCTCCATCCTCCTCGCTGGTGCTACCCCTGCTCTGCAAGTCCCGTGGGTGTCTATGGTGGTAGTTTTGCCGCACCCACTGTCGGATCTTGTCCCTCTCCTGCGACAGCTTCTGAAGCCTCTCAGACGAGAGCACCTTCACCCTGGCTATCACCGAGTCGAACTTGAACACCCGCTCGAGGGCACATACGCACTTGCCACACACAAACTCCCCCTGCCCGCTGCCCCGTGGCACAGACTGCCCCAGTATGTGGGTCAACACTGAGAGCAGATCCATTCCTTTGGACGGGGAGCTCAGGGATAACTGGGACTTGGAGAGAGACACTGAGGAACCAAGAGACATTGTGCTGCCTGTGAAGAGTAAAAACAGTTGACTTCAGACTCAAACAATATGTGACCTAAAACTTCTCTGTATTTCCTTATGCTCCAGACTCACCCCAGGGGCTGCTCTGAGAGGACCGGGACAGGCTCCTTCCTCTCAGGGACTCTGTCGGGGTCAGAGGCTGACCAGCCTTCTTATTTTGACCCCCAAACAGCCACCGTCTCTGGTTCCCCTGCAGAGCACCGCCACATATTCGGCACAAGTCATTTTTACCTCTGGAGGACATCATGGACAGAGGGATGATACTACACCTCCTGTTGTCCTATAGATACTCGAGCGTCTCTGTAAATTAAAGCAAAGAAAAGAGAAGAGATGGCTTGTAGTCCAACAGCTGGATGTTACTTTTGTTTTGCTGCTCTGATACTGAAAGATGAAAGTTTGACTGATCCATCTAATCCAACCAGACTGACAAATTAAAGTATCTCCCAGTACTTTGACTTAATGTTTTGTCCTGTCCCTCCCCTCTATGGATAATGTTTGGCTGGGTTATAGCTGCTCACAGCTTGCTGGGTGTTTACAGTACTTTCCCACAGGGCGGGACACGTCGACCTTGAGCCACGCTGACAGTGAATTCAGTCAGACTGTTGATGAATGAAAACTTTCTCTTCAAACAGTCAGTCTCTCCATGAAACTCTCGCTCCTCTCAGGACGTCTGCATTTTCTAAACAGTCGAATATGACACATCCTGAAATCAAGTTAACCCGTTCAAGCCTACATCAGAGGATGTTTAGGTGCATGGGTTTAACTGGACATATACTTTCTGTGTACAGCGATTTAAAAAAACACTGAATTAAAACCGCGATAACTGCCGGTTTACGTGACTTTTGCCTGTTTGATCACGACAATTTAAGGCAGTAATCTTTTCCGGGAACCGTAAATAGCATGCAACATGTTTCCAAAGGGAAACCAACTAGTGGGAAACACTTGAACTATCGTCTATCTGAATCTATTTTAGGGAAATGAAGTGCAGCGATTCACCTTCAAAGTAACGTCAGCCTGTGAAAGCGGAGCTGCAGCCCAGAATATGACTGAGCACTCAGCGCCTTCAGTTCAGCTCCCTGTGCTTTTAACGCAGGCTTCGTTATTAACACACCGTCATCTCTCATATACAAAGTATTTTCAAGCGCTGTCTTACGTTTGAGGTCCTCCGGGGTTCACGCACTGGACGTGATAAAAGTTAAAGTCCGTCAGGTCGAGGAAGAAATCCTCATTGTCACAGAGGCACAAGAAATGGAAGTGTTTGGAAAAAAAAAAAAAGTTTCCGTCACCGGGAACTGGACTGAAGCCGCGTCGCCACACACCGGAGCAGAGGAAGAGAGGTGGGTGTCACCTTGCTGACGTCATCGGCCGTACCTGTTTAGTGCCGCGTGAACAGAGGGAGGAGGTCTGCAAACACTGGTTGAGAGAGGATTCAGGGCTGTGTGTTTTTAACCCACGGAAGAGCAGCCTGGGTTATGTTGTCACAGCAGAACAGCCTCTTAGTACAGAACAATTGGCCTAATAAACGGAGGCCAATTTCTGCCACTAAATGTAATAGTTACAATATTTAATATAATTTTATTATATAAAGTGTTTTTGTTAGAAAAATGACCTTATAACTATGAAATACTATCTTAACTTACTAATAGTATCTCATAATTGTGATTTCATGTATCATAGTTACAAGAAACGTCATAATTTTGAGAGTTTGTTTTTAATTATGACTTCGTATCTCATAATCATGACTTAGTGTTAAATAATTATGAGTTAGCTTCTTTTTCATATTAATAACTTAATATAAAAACGTTATATTAAGATATTAAGGACTGTTAATAACTGCTAATTGGAGCTGGATCCAAAAGTATTAAAAAACCAGTAACAAAATGGCATAAATTGGTAGAATCAATTAACCACCCATCATGTCCAACTGGTATGAACAAGTGCATCTTATGCGCGCAATGCAAGGAAGATTATATTTATATTTTTCCTAGTTTTCCTACATTTTTACCAAAGATTTATAAAAAAGACATATAACTACAGTTTATGGAGGACTAAATCTGCTGAACGTTAAGGTGATTTTCTACACATTGATATGCCAAGAATCTGATTTCGATAAGAATCAGAAGTGATTGGGAAATATCAGTCATCATATGCACATGTTTTAAAGTCAAATTTTTGGTTAGATGAATTCCCTTTATTCAATTATCTGAGAATCCAAAACTCTAAGGGAAATCTATTGGTTTAATTGATTGATCACTCCCCCATATGCTTCTTTAATCTAATCATGTGTAAAGGGCAAAAGAGTCAACATGTAGGCCTCTGCTCTGCAGTCAGGGGTCAAGTGAACATGATCTGACAAGCTGCACAAACATATCAACTCTCAACAATGAATCGGGAGAGCTAGATCCACCTGAAAGTATTAAAAGACATTAAACATCTATCAAAAGGGATAAAGCAAATACACAAAATCACTAAACACTTACTTATTTATTATGACCTAATATTATCTCAAATGTTCCGTTTTTCTAGAGACCACTTCTTTACTTGTTTTTGTGTTGACTCAGCTCTGTGGTCAGCTTTCAGGCTGTGGTACTGTTGTATAGGACTGTGTTACATTTGATGGTGCTTATGGTTTTGTGTTACTGTAGCTACATAAATGGAGGAGCAGAGCCCTGTTCCGTGCATGAAGTATAATACTTCTGCAGTTGTTATTGTTGTATGATGAGAAATGCCCATTTAGGGGATAGCCTATCGCCTAACTTCGTTGCCCTTCTTGTGCTAAATGCAAATGTATGTTGACGTTTGTGAGCTCATTCTTCATTAGCCGATGCTGCCTAAACGCTGTTAACGCTTTGCATGTTATTTACCCATTAAATGAAGGCGCGCAATTCGATTCAGCGCACCACAGCGTCAGTTTGTTCCATTATCCAACTTGTGCAATAAAAATTGAACAAGGAAGTCGAGAGCCGGAAACAGAAACAGTTCGTCTTCAAAGTAAAGGTTGCGCGTTTTGAACAAACTTGCTGGCTGCAGCATCAATTTAAGGAGAGCTAAGCTAAATAAATAAATGAACTGTCTAAATAATGAATATAATTCATAACTGTTATCGGTGTTTGACTGCTAACCTACAAGTGATCGGGAATACATTTTCAATTAACACTGGAATTATTATAGAGTCTTGCGATTCATGAATGTAGCTATTCGCCAACTTATTAATTTCATTGAGGTTACTTAATCATTTACTTTGTGCATTTAAAAAACGTTTCCTTAAATAATAACGTATACTGTTGGAAGTGGGGTCACATGACTGCTGGACCGAAGAGCAGCAGGACAACAGGTGTGCTAACTGGGCGGCTCACACAGGTGCCTTGAATGTTCTTTGTTCTGTGTCCTGAGCTCATTCTCTATTTACCTTTCAGTTCAGCTTCCCTCTGTCATTTCACCTTTGTTCCTGAGTGTGTTGAGTGAGTTAATTTCATTATATTTTCTGAAGTCATGTTTATTTTGTTATTAAGTAGCACATCTCATCTCCTTGGTCTGTTCTCACATATATATTTAAAGTGAGAATCTATTGATGTACCGATTTTTGATTTGGAAATGTTCATAGTTGTTGTTTGTTCAAGATAATATGATAGATTTGACCTGTATGTGCACTTTTATTTGTAGAAATATGACCACTCACACCTGTCTGGGTGCAAGCAAGAAATTAAATACTTTGAAATGGAACCTGTTGACTGCTTCTCCTGCTTTGCTCATTTCATCAAGTCCAGTGTAATCCTAGAGCACATATGTGTTAAATTACATTTTCATTTTATGTTTACATGATCATTTGAATAAACAGGCTTCTATAATGACTTTAATATGAATAAATAAAATTACTTATTCCTGTGCCCCAGAAAAGATTGGTGAATATTTGAACCTTAAAATGTGCAAATGTCATCCTGGTTTGCTCTATAACAATGAATGGGGCTGTGATGCTGCAAAGCCATAAAATGTTTGTCTAATTTCTCACTAAGATTAGTGTTTTATATCTTCAACCTTATGTCCAATTTAAAATCTGGATGACACCTGTTAGGAGGTACACTACACAACTAGTGTAGATTGTGAGGTTAATGCAGTAACACATTTCTCACAGTGGCTCAAAGTAATTTCAGCTTTATAACTTCAGTAGCCTGACTGATGAAAACAAGCCATTGGCTTTTTTAGAATATGACATTTGCAAGTTTATACTTCCAGAGTCTGTTTTTCTACTTAGTAATTAGTTCATCATTTGCACCAATTAGCTCTTAATTTGGGTGGTTCAATTAAAAAGTGCATTCAACATTTTCATTTGTCACTTGTGACATTTAATCGATGTTTTAATGGATTACACAACTGTTGACACAGAATAAAGTCAGTGCCCTTGTGTTGTCTATGGAGGATTTGGGGATTCTCTGATTTCTAGCTTTAAGACAGATAATACAGACTTAACTGTCCTTGGGCCCGGGAATAACATGTGACATTTAAGCCGTGTATTTAGTTAAATTGCTTTCAAATGAATGAACTGTGTTTATGAATGTTGTGATTATTATTTATTAGTATTTTGAACTTCGTGCACAGCTGCTGTTGGGCTTTTACCTTCACTTCCCGCTGCAGTTCATGGCTTTCAGCTGCAGCTTATGAAGTTTGAACGATCCTTTATGGATTCTGTGTCACTTGCAGCTGGACTCCATGTTTGCTGGTTCACTCTTTCCTTTCCTGTGTCCATGACAACAAAGCGGCAAAACTACTCGCAGTCTCGGCCGAGTCAGAGGAATAATAGCATTAGAAAAGTAAACTGTGGAACCATCGACGTGGGGAACATGGATGTAGGCCTATTATCAGACATATTAGGTTGAAATAATACAACCATGGTGGGGAACAAACAAACACCTTGTACAGACGGTCGAGCAGGAATGGGAGGGGAAGAACCCGAGCGGAGGGAAGCTCTGCAACTGTTATACACTGCCTCTTGTGGTGATTGGCCAGTGTTGGCGCCATTTTCGGATTTAAATAACGGACAACAACACAAACATTGGCGTCAGTGAATCACTATTTGGCTCAGTGTGCAGTAAGAAAAAAAAAAAATACTCGCATCTCCTCCTCTTCATCACGCAGGTCTCCAGTAACCTTCGTCCTCTTTCATCTTGTTTGCAGAAGAAATGAACTTCCCGGTTTGATTTAAAGTCCAATCAGAGGGCAGGTGGTTCTGTTGCCTTCATACCCTCGGCATATCCTGAAAGGTGTAGTCTTTTTTGAAAATCTTCCAAAATAAAAGCAGTTTGTATTTTGTATAATTGCGTTTCCCCACAGATCATAGTTGAAACGTTTAAGATGAGTGTCTGTGAATGTTCTCATTCGTCCAGGTCATAGTTATCTCTCTCTCAAATTAAATCGAAGGCAACTGGACTTGTATTTGTCTGTGGAAGACGTTTCGCCTCTTATCCAAGCGGCTTCATCAGTTCATCATGTATTGGTCTCTCTAGTCCGCACTAGTCTGACTTTAAGATGAGTTAAAATGATATTCTGTTTATTACATTTAGTTTTTCAAGTCATCACTAATGCATCAGAAAACAAAATGGATGTGATTATTGATATATATACACACATACATATATAGTGATGAAGTAAAAAGGAACTACTATGCATAGTATGCATAGCAGTCCCAGCTGGAGGAGAAGCACATGATGTTCAGCCTGACTGATGCTAAGGTGATCCAGAGGATCTCCCGGGAGGAGTGGAGGCTCCACTGTCGGAGGAGGACACATGGGGCAGAGGAGATGGCCATCATCATCCAGGACATGCGTGTCTCTCATAGCTTGTGATTAAGTATGTTGTCTATTATCACTTCATGCAAACATAAAATTCACTTTTTCCTCAAGCCAGTGCCAAGTACTTCCAAGCTCAGAGCCAGATAGAGCAGGACAAATGGCGAGTTGTTTACTCTACCAGATACAGGGAGAGGCAGTGGTGGGAAAGAACACCTCCTGTCCTCGGAAGGAGAGTCTCCAGAGGTGAGCTTCACTTCAAATATCACTGTTTCCTCTCATGAATATCAGATCTATATTAAAACACTGCTCTCTATGATTATTTTTCAGCTGTCTTCTTGAACTGAACTCGGGCCCTGAAAACTGGCCCAGTGTTAGCCGCCTGGTGGAGGCCGTTTGCAACAAGCTCTATCGTCTTCAGCCAGAGGCCACATGGTCCAGAGGGACCATGAGGACTTGGTGGTCCCTCATCCTAAAGGACTACATGGCCATTAGAGAGGCAGTGCTGTCCAGCCCAGGGTTGATGGCTCAGACCAACATCCAGGTCTTTGAATTGAATTGAGGACTCAGTGGCAAGAGTTTGTCATAAAGCACTGGGTGTGTACAACCGAGATCCCTTTGTTAGAGAGCACGCTGCCACACCAGTAGGTTGCTGGAAACCAATGTCCTTTGTTTGATATTATTTATTGTTTATCTCTTTCAAATTATGTTTACCTTCAATTAATCTTAATTTAATAGTTTATTTGACCTGAAAATTGTTAGTAAGGCATATTGTTGTAATTTAGAGCCAATATTTCATTTTTTCTAAAGAAACATTGAAATACAGTTAAACACTGCAGAACATACAAACAGTTGGTCACCTTTGTATCTATACAAGCAATTTCACTGATGGATATACAAGTCAGTTCATATGATAAATATTCAGTGATCATTTTGTGAGGTCACATACACAATCCATTTTCCCCAGTACTGCAGGAATCTATCAGTCCGTAAATTTAATAAAAAAGTTATTCATCCCTTGAATATTAGTAACAATATATATCCAGTCAGTCTTTGTTGGAGGTTAGGCCTGTAACCATCTTCCTGTTACAGCTTTCTTGCTGCAGCTAATAATATCTTTAGTAGGTATTTATCTTGGGCCAATAGGTGAGCTGCAATGTTGCCCAAATAAATTGTAGTAAAAGAGCAGTCAATTCCATCACTAAATATATTTTGTATTGCTTGTGTTACTTCCTGCCAATATGACCGAATGGCTGGGCAGTCCCAGAATAAGTGGAAATGATCTGCCATCTGTTCACCACAATTCCTCCAGCATAGACCTCTTTCCATCACACCTGTCTGTACACTTTTTAGCTTGGGGGTTACAAAATATCTTATTAAATTCTTCCAACAGAACTCTCTCCAAAGGCCTGAACTTGTGGAAGATGATTAGATAGAACACATTCAACCAGACCTCATCTGAGATGACAAGTCCACATTCCCTCTCCCATTTTAGTTAAATTCATAATTCATTCAATGTTTCTTTGTAGATTGAAGTTTCCTGTTGTCCTTATTTTTATACATGTAACTAAATATATCAATTAATTTGGTATCACAGTACTCAATGGGTTTTAACTCTTAAAATATTCCCTAGTTGTAAGTACCTAAAAAATCACATTTTTCCAAACCATAATATGTCTGAGAATTTTTGAAAGGAGTCCAAGGAGATTGAGCAGTAGGAGGTCAAAAGCAACCCATCTCTAATGTCTGGACTCTTTCAATTAGTGGTAATTTATAGTCCTTAATCCAAATTTTGAGAGGAACTTTGGTCCATTGATTTAAGCTATCAGAGTACTGCTCATATAAAGCTTTGCTACCCAGTAAAGATTGTAACGGTATATCTAATTGCGACGTTTCCAAGTCTTTCCATTTTGCTTCATTTGCTTTCGCTAAATGAAACAAAATTAAATGCTTTTTAATTATTATAATCAGGACTCAACGTGCCTTGAATGTATTCACTTCCTGTTTACAATTGTTTGTACTGAGATTACACATCTTTTAAACTTTTGATAAGACATTCAAGTTGAGCTGTTATTCACACAGGTTACACCTCTAAACCGGTGCATAGATAATGTGATTCGATGTCGTCATCTACTTTACGCACTTTTACGCAAACTGGCAATATCCGCCAACTTGTTTGCTCTTTGGACATACGCACGTTGCGTAGGTCAGCCGCAGACACACACAGACATCATGGCGGACGTTTTGGACCTTCATGAAGCGGGAGGCGAGGACTTTCCTATGGATGAGGATGGTGATGGTAAAAATGTTATTTATACCCATTACCGACGGATGCGCTTTGTCCCCGCAGTTCAAATAATGTGTAAATATTGAGGTCTACGTGAAAGAAGCCGTGGCGAAGAATTAACCAAACGCAGACTGCGTGGTTGTAGGCCTGAGAAATGCTAGCAAGCTAACATTAAGCTAACGACACACTGAATGTTCATTCAAACGCTCATTGTAAGTTAGCTAGGTCGTGTGTTAACAACCCTTAAGGTTACTTTTATAAAACATTTTTACTTTTGACTGACCAAAATGTCTCTTAAAATGTATTGCCATGCTTAATAGCATGATGAACATGGCGTGAAAGAAATAACTACGAACATCTGGCGTGTTGTTAGCCGCCGCCAGCACGCTAGTTGAATCCTCCTAGAGACGTTGGCTAACAGCTAAAATTAAGTTACCCTGATTACACTGCTTGTGCTTTTCAGCATGCGTGTCATATGTTTAAATGTCGGTTTGGTGCAACTGTAGCATTAGCTAGATTAGCATTACGTAATAGCATCAGTTCAAACTTTGGGAGCGCGGAACAAGATTTAGCAGTTCAGAGGTTTTGACTTGTTTGATTTTCCTTCATCAGAAAGCATCCATAAGTTGAAAGAGAAAGCCAAGAAGAGGAAAGGACGAGGCTTTGGCTCAGGTGAGTCATCACTGTTGTGAAACTGTTTTTTGTAGTTAATTTCTAGCAGAAGCGTTTAGATGTAGTTTATTATTCTAGCCAAGAGTGTTAAATAACTTTCTGTCTTGCTGTTTCCAGAGGAAGGTGCCAGGTCCAGAATCAAAGAGGACTACGACACAGTGGAGCAGGATGGGGACGAGCCTGGCCCTCAGAGATGTGAGTGCTGTTGTTCATATTAAAGATGTAATCTAGTTTAATCGTGAGCTGATAGACTAAAGTCTAAGCTACTTATTTGTCCACTAAAAGTGCCTTTGCTATTTTGCAAGTTGCAGTATTTGTTATCTTGTCAGTTGTTTATGAAAATAGTTGGCTAGCAACAATACAGAAAGCTAATGCCCATTGTCCAATTCTATTCATTTTTTCCCAACAATATTCTTAAATTTCTACACCTAAATAACAAGATAATAAAATCAGTCTGCTGCAGGTTTCCCAAGTTGTATCTTTGTTTTCTATCCAGGTAGCTGGAAATTCTATATGTTGTTGTTCAATTTGTGAACCAAAATAGGTTTCATCATCAGTTACATTCATCTGTACTGATGTTACTGTCTTATATTTTACATTATTGTAAACGATGTTTAAATGTTTGTTTTGTACAAAAAAAGCAGTGACATACATTATCTTTATAAGAGTGTAAAGAAACAGCAGCTTGATAAGTGCCATGGCTGCGTTATTTTTTATGATTAGAGGACTTTTGAGAGTATTCCGGAAATAGCTTTTGATAAAGTGGCATTTTAACTCTGTGCCGCAAATGTAATGTTAATACCATAAAAAGCATAAACTGGAGCTCAGTAGGCTTTATAAAGGTTAGATCAGAGTTTATTTGTACATTTTGCATAGAATAAGAGCTTTTGTCAATACAAAATCAGGTCATTAAATGCCTTGCAGACACAAAAGATGATAAAACTGTTGTGTAATAAAATACAGCAAATGCAAGAAGAAATGGGAACAAATCATGGTAAGGAAGTATCAGAAAAATGCCTTTGAGAATAAATAGCGTTTGAGAAGAGATTTGAAACAATCAACAGTTTGCTGATCTAACCTCCAGAGGGAAAACTGTTCCCCAATCCAGGAGCTCGGACATCAAAAGCCCAGCCCCTACCAGTCTAGTGATCATAACTCCTTGCATATTAGTTTACCCAGTTCAAAATGCTGCTTGGTTTATTATTTAACCCAGAGGCCTTTCTTTGTCTTAATCTTATTGCAGCTGTGGAGGGTTGGATCCTGTTTGTGACAGGTGTACATGAAGAGGCCACAGAGGAAGACATTCATGACAAATTTTCTGAGTTTGGAGAAATCAAGAACCTGCATCTCAACCTTGACCGCAGAACAGGCTACCTCAAGGTGAGACACATAACTATGTGTTATTAGCATGTTTGTAAATTTCAGTGTGTCCTTGATTTCATTGAGGAGATATTCATATTAATTAGATGTACACTTTTTACTGATTTTATATTTCTAATTCACACATCCTCTGGGCCGCTTGTTTGCTCTAATAGTTTTAACTCAGCTTAACTTGGATGTTAAGCTGTGTATGCTGTTCTTTTGCTAATTAAAAGCGCAGGTCAGAAAGCCAAATATGGTGATATAAAATGAGAAGATGAAAGAAACATAAGTTTTCTGAAAAAGAGCAGAAAGATATTCTATGCCAGTGGTGCCCTGCAACTATTATTTAACCATTTATTACATCTAATGAGGCAAATGTTGTTGACTAAGTGATGAATTCTGTCCAAATGGGGAGAAGTTAGAACAGCATATATCCTATTAAATTATCCAACTAGAAAATAACAGCAATGTTTCATTTTCATCCTTTTTATGTGTATAAACCCAGACCTCTTTTGTATTTTCTTTATTGATATAAGTTTTAAAACCTTGCTATCACAGGTACTTGGTAATGGCTGTTGGTAAATGGGTAAATTATATTCTTCATAACTGAGCAAATATTTTCAAAATGTCTTGTAATATCAGTTCTGTCTGTCTTGGTATGCCAGTAATTTTTTTTAGAGTGTATCTGCTCTTTGCCCAGTGCAGTAGAGTACATGGAAGTTGATATTTGACAGTTATGTTTTGATATCCAGTATGCTTCAGCTTTCCTCTCAGCCACAAGGTGGCAGCATTGCTTTGAGTATGAAGTAAGAACAAAGCCCCTCTGGTCTGAAATAGTTTCTCTACAGTTATTTCAGAGAGAGAATGTCAATTTTTAGTATAGACTGTTGGAAGATTTACATGATGTATTAACAGTCCATACACTCTATTGATCATTTCTGCGATGCCTCAGGGACAAAAAATGTATAGTGTTGATTATTCTTATGTGCTAAGTTGAAAATGTGTTTGCTAAGTAACTCCACACCGTGGTTTCATCTTGACCATAACACCAATGTGCCTGAGGAATATTCTTAAGATTATTTGGTGAATAGTAGTTTTTTTTTTGTGTAAAACATAACAAAATTCCAAAGCAGTGTTGTCATGAATGTGCAATAACTCACACAATGTCCTAATAACTGTTCTCAGGGGTATGCACTGGTAGAGTATGAGACATACAAAGAGGCCCAGGCTGCCATGGAAGGGCTCAACGGTCAGGATCTGATGGGCCAGCCTATCAGCGTTGACTGGGGATTTGTCAGAGGGCCCCCCAAGAACAAGAGGAGGTGAGGGTGGTGTGTGTTTATCCGTGTTATTGCCTGTGGTAGCAGTAACTTGCTGGTAAAGGGAGTGTTATTTGAATTTTGCATTTTGTCAAAGTGCAATGTTTGAAGAATACTGTGTGTGATATACCAATTTTGACAGAATTTCCTTCATTTGTATTGTTTTTTGTATTTTTTTTTTTACTCCAATCATTCCTTGTTGGAGAGTTTGGCTGTAGCCATTTTGGTATGATGGCTTTCTTTCTGGCAGCCAAGAGTATATTTAAAGGTGCAAATGACTAAACAGTATTTTTCTTTTTTGTTTTGTCCCAGGGCTGGCGGACGGAGACGCAGCAGAAGTCCAGACAGGAGGCGGCGTTGAGTTTGGTAGTTGTCATTGGCTAGAGGGGGCATCTGTCACTTTGACGGGCAGTTTCTAATCTTGTCATCTTCTCATAAGGAGTTAACTAAGGATTTTTTGTATAGTATTTTTCAGTAACAGTTGTATGGCATGTAGTTGTGCGATTTCAAATATTGAGAAAAGGAATTGCTCTTCAGAAATTAATAACAAAAGAAAAAAGTTGCTAATAGCAGCATTGCATTTTATTGTAAATTGTTTATGCTGCTTTACAATGCAACAAACGGATATCCATTCAGCTGTGTCGGTGAAACTTTTTTACTTTCAGTAGCCAACTTGTAGGTAATACATGTTTATGGTGATTCATGATTCCCTCAATGTTGTTTCAGTTTGCTCAATGCTACATACATTTTATTGTGCTGGAGTGCTTTGTTTTATATTACTTTGGGAAAATTAAACTTTTTAAAAGCCAAATGTGTGCCCTGTTGTGTTTTTATTTAGCACTGCTAATGACGTAGGGTTTACATCATCGTAGATGACCTCACCCAGGCAATGGTGACGCCCCAGCTATTTGGTCAACTCTGAAGCACCTGTCACTCCGGAATCAGTGACACACTCATAGGCTACTTGGACAAAACCCTGGCCCCTTATTTTTCTGCAGCCAATTGACAAATGAACGTTTTTTACTTGCTCGTTCTCATTTGGTCTTTACTCTATTGGAGAACGTCAGTCAAAACCCCCGAGAACAGCCATTGGTTCTGATAAAAGTCAATAAAACAGACTCTCCTCTCTGATTGGGTGGCTATTTGTGGGGGCGGGATAAAGGCTTCGGTTGACGTTGTTGTTGTAAGTGGTGGAGAAATTACTTTGTCGGTTATGGTCCGGTTTGGGATTTTATGCTTACTTCCACCTACGAAGATGTTAAAAAGTTAGGAATTGTTGGTCTTGGAAACGTATATGTTATTCACAAGTTGATGCTTGCTTGGAAACTTAATGGGACGACGAAAACAACATCTGCGAGGCCGTTCAAGGTAAGCAGTAAAGGGATACTCTAGCTACTAGCCTTAACGTTAGCTAACGTTAGCTGCTGATTAGCCAGGCTTGAGGTAGCCACTTGCTAGCCAAACGTTACGGTTTGGTCTACGTTCTGAAAAATAAAAAACACTTTTCTGTGACGAGAATTCATGCAAACACAATGCAGCTCTTAAAAGGCATGGAAAAAATTTCTATTACATGAAAACAAAGTTGTTGGGCTGTGTGTAAACGGTGCACGAACCCCCATGCGTTTGAACGGCTCAAATGCGTTTATGTAAGCATGTGTATTGTTCGTTGATATTTTGTTTCAGAGAATAGTCGTAGCCATAATAGCTGGCTCAGAGTCAACATTTAGGACAAGACATCATCACCAGCATCGAGCTTCATCTGTTTTCCAGGGGAGCAGGTTGGTGAACAGAATTGGTTGCTGAGCATTGCATTAGCTTTTTAAGCTGTCAGCTATAGGTTAAACATTGCATTTTAAAGTAGTGCTGAAGGGGAGATAGGTTCTATATTTTCCCTTATCAATTATGCTTTTGCATTCGTTAAATTTTATCAGCTGGCTTTCAAAGAGCTGGCAGTCACGATCCAGATTATCCGAGCCCGGTTTTTATTTAAGGTGCATGTGTGATGTAACATTTACTTAAAGCACCAGCTTAGAGTTCACAATCACTCGCGTTTATTTTCTAACTTCTAATCTAAACGATTGGTTTTTAATGTTGAGTGACTAACTTGATCGAGTGAGTCAAGTCAGCAGGGTACGGCATTTCTTCCCAAACCTTGCTGCCAGATATGTGTGACCACTCTTTGATCTTGCTGGTCATTGAGATCAGGGCTCCGTGCTCGTTATGGAACTGGGACTGGGGTTATTTGCCGTCATTTACAGCATCACTTCGATGAGAGAGGGTAGCGTTACACTTTGCCTTGAATTATTCAGGTCTTGTATTTGTGGGCTCTTGTTTGCTGGGACACCAGGACAGTCAACAAACAGTCAACATGAAAAGTAGGACAGAGGTAGAACTTCTTTACTGCACTTGGTCTGGAGGGACCGTTTATGTTGTTATAAAGCAGTTGGAAACACATGCAGCTGTAAGTAGCAACCTTGCAAGGTTTGATGGAATTTCAAGAAACTAGGTATTGTGTAGTGGGAAAAAGAAATGCATCCAATTCTTCCACCTGTACTCACTCATTCCAGTGGCTGTGTAGGGTGATGCCTGAAATGCAGGACACACCAGCCGGACAGCTGCAAAGAAGACTGCTGATTAGTAGCAGTGTGGAAAGTTAGAACAAACTACCAATTTAATCTACTAAATAGACAGTAGATTTGTCTGATCTATCACTCGCTTAAGCAAGTAACCACTTGTGTGTTTATGCGTTATTGTATCACTCCAGATGAAGAATTTATTAAGCCTGACCAATTCTAGGATCCACTATGCAGTGAGGCTAGAAGATGGAAAAACATCTTCATACACTGCTGCATATTCTCTGTGAGGGTGTGTGAGGTTGCACTGTCAGGCTTCATTATGCAAGTCTTCAACACTTCAAGGAACATATTGATGCATACAGCAGCACAGAGTGCACCTCGGGCAAGTATTTTAAGTAGGGTGTAGCATCCTTCCTTATGTAGTTCACATTCCAAACTCGCAGGGTGTAAAGGAAAATATCAGTAAATGTTTTTTTTACCACTCAGCACAAAAAAAACATAGTTTTGCCACTTTGTTAGTAATCAGATGATAGATGCCAGTTTATGAATGTTTGAATGTGTTATTGGTCAGTGCACTAAACAGGCACTATAGATAAATCCATTCATGACCTGTCTCCAATAGTGCAAAATATTTTAAAAAGCCTTCTGTTGACTTACTGAGTTATCGCAGTTTGATTTTGTTTGGACTAGTTATGTTGATGTAAATGAAAATTTGTGGTTTGCACTTCGCAGCATATCATACAGAGATCTCAAAGTGTATTCAAATGGGCTGCGGTAATCATTTCACAGTAGCCTTGCTTGAAAATGATACAAAGGACACGACACAGCTAATGAAAATGGTAAATGTTTTCACTGTTACGTTCACTGTTACTCACATAACATGAGCTGGTTGTTCATAACATTTGTAAGCTATCATCATCATTTTTTCAAAATATAACACTCACTTTTTCAATGAACATTTTCACAATGTTGGTCACCATGTTAGTGAATTTAAACTACTGCTTGCACACTGGCTATATGGAGGAGTGTGCGTGCAATATGGTAATAATTTTGGTATGAAGAATCATAGACTGGCGATGTTGTTGATCCCTAATCAGTGCAATGAAGGCACATGTAATTCCTATGAAAAAGGGTTTGTCATAGAACTGTCCTCTTGAAGTTGCAAAGTTGCAGGACTTGGTGGTAATGGGTTTATTGGCACACTGTTTTGCTGTGACACAGCATAGTCATATGATAACACAATGGAGGGTAGAGCAGCTATAAACTAGAATGAGTCTTAGTTTATAATTTGACAAGCCTTGCAGTCAGTTTGTCTCTCTGGAGGGAAACATGTTTAGTCTGGAGTTTTAAAGGTTTTGTGTTATTATCTTAACTATCTTTTATATCCTAAATACCTTTAACATGGATCGTACTATTTTAGTGTTGGACGGCAATGGCTGTTTTGACTGCCATGGTGCATATAGTGTTTCACAGGGTAACCATGCTGCTTCAGCAACACAGAAGGTATGAAAATTTAAATTTGTCTCTTGCAGGGCTCCCCCAAACAGCTGCTCACTAAGTGTGTATGTGTGTGTGTGCTGCAAGGATCCAGTGTCAGTTTCAGAGCCAGGCTCATTTGGCCGTGGAGGTATTCCCATAGGATCTCTCAAACACGGTCAGATTAATAAGTAAGTAGATGGGTGCCTCTTCAGGTTAGTAGGACAAACACATGATTTTTGTGTGAAATGAACATGTTCCACGCAATTTTACAGCGTATTTGCTTAGTCTAGGATAGGCACTAAGGCAGGAGCTAAGTCTAGCACTTAATACTTTAATTAACTGTTAACATCATAAAATTAAATATGAAACTCACATCCATACAGCCAGGCATTTATGCTGTAATCTGTAAAGAGTTCATAAAGACAGTAACAGATGTGATAGGAAAGAGAAAACTACCTTTGTCCCAGCACTGCCACAGTGAGACAGGGATCAATAGGTGGCTTGTCTCCGAGAGGCCTCTGTGTCCAGACAGCAACTCATAAAACTCTTTGCAGACCCACCCTCCCCAGCATGGCTGGTTGCCTGCCAGTCTTGTGACACAGCAACCAGCCTGTGCCCAGGACTGCTTGTGTCAGGGTGGAGAGACCTAGAACTGAGGCATCTACCTGGGTGCCAGCAGCTGCTTGACTAGCACGTCGTGGAATAGCAGACCTTCACTGAATGCTTTGAGATTATATTTAGATAATTTGTGCAGTTGTTATACAATAGAAGTGGCTATAAAGTAGAATGGAACAGTAATATGAGGAAAGATAAAGCCTTATGATACCAACCAAGCAGCCAAAATACCATACAGCATGAGACCCCACACTCACAACTGAAGCTATGGTAATGAGAGCTTGCTTTATCACTTGCTCACCTTTTCTTCCTCTACATACAGTACCGGTTGGGGAATAAATGATTATACTTTCCACAGCAAAGCGAGTTTGATCTGCCCTGTGAGAAATTTTGGCACCTTATTTACATACTATACTTAATGACCATATCAAACACAACTACAAAGGTGGATCATATTAGATTGTGTGCCAAAAAGCAGTATTGTCTTTTGTGTCTGTCACACCCCTGCTTGTGACAGCCGTTGCTTTTGCTTAATACTGTTGGTCTGTTTTGTCGTGTGTTACAAATATGAAGGCCTTTTCTCTCGCATTGAAATCATTTAGCTGTTTTTGAGCAAATGAAATAAAGTTAGATAATGATTTTTATGATGATATGTTAAAATCCTAAGCCATCTTCGTACAGTGCTTACATGATACCATGGTTTGCTGTAGACCTTTTTATATCCATATCTCTTCCACACCTTCCAGTCACAATCTTTTTTTTGGTAGAAATGTTGCTTTTGCTTTCAGCAAGGCTTGTTGCTGCTGTACAAAGTAGATCAACAATTAGCAATATCAGTGATGTATTAAACTCAAAGATACTTTAGTTTAGGTTTAGGTAAACCATAAAAAAGAAACAAACTAAATCAACAGTTTGCAGTATCACTGATATGACATTTTATCACAAAAATTATTCCATTGTATAGTGTGGCACGCTCCTCAGCAGATAAATTGGCCTCTTCGGAGCTGTGTTAGTTTGTGACATGTTGCGTCATATTCATAAATCAGTGTGCAGAACCATTCTTATAGCTGACAAATTAATTGAATCCAGCCTAATATGATCTGACTTTGTTAAAGTTACTTCACAGTCTGGGTCAGAAGACAGAAAACTACAGACAACAGTGGGTAGGTAACAGAGGCTCCAGAGGAGGATTAGATTGGCTTGTGTTGTTATCTGTCAAAGTGGCTGGTAAGTTCAACAACTATAGCCAAAATTTGTCAGCATTTGTTTAGGTGTTGATGTTTATTTCAAAGTATTATAGCAGGTGAATAATGAGATTTAGATTCCACTTTAGCATGTGGGGAAAAAAAGTGTAGTTTCCTTTATAGTTTAGAAGACATCAGTCCCTCCCGCCCTGCCCTGTTGATTCAGGGCAGCAGGAGTAATCCCACACACAGCCCTGATGAGGAGCCTGCCACCCAGGATGACATCACACAGGGAGTGACGTGAAGTCACCCTGCTGTGTACAGGGCCTGGCCTGCAGCACGTGGGGATTCACATGAGCATTAGTCCTGCCCGCCTGCAGAGGCTGGTGCTTGTTTAGCCACTGGCTTTAGCTTTAGCTGGGCTTGGTTGGCTTCACATTCAGGCTGACTTAGCAGGAGTTGATCTTGAATGTTTGACTTTGTCCTGTCTTGTAACATGGGAGTTGTCATAGAT